CATTTAGCAGCGAAGGAGCCAGATGTTTCCCTCAGGATTTAGTGAAGAGCTAAAAGGAGAGTAAATATTTGTCGGTTTGCATGAAACATGATTTTAAATGAATGATTGTTGCTTTTGTGTATACTGGATACAAAATGGGCAACTCTTTGCTAACATGTTAGCCATTGCTGCTTTATGAAATGTTATTATGTCAGTGTAACAGATTAATTCTGTTTCATCAAAAGGAATAGAAGACATGATGGTTAACTTTTTTGTAAATGTAATTTAACATAGTTTCTGCCTATTTAAACTTGAGTTGGATGATCTTTGCGTCATACTCTCTCCCTCTCTCTGGTCTAGTAACTCTATCTGCAGCCCTGTGTATGGATTTGCATGATATTTCCATTCCTATGAAAGCCATAGGAACAAACAGTGGTTTTTGCCCCCCTGGTGCTCACAGAGAGGACTTTGCATAGCAATGATGCACATTATGTGTCTTCATGCAGTTAGAGACTCAGACGGGGCCGGGGGCCAACTCACAATGGAAATACAAACTGCCAGTGAACCAGTGAACAATTACCTTGCAATAGAAAACATATGACCTGACAAAGGTTTTCAGTACTTTAGTCCTGAACATGAAACAACTGACAGAACTGAAAAATGAGATGTGAGTCATGATGCCTTGCAGCAGCCAGTTTGCTTTTACTTCAGTCCGTCCGGGGAGAGTACTGAATGAACAACACAGGCTTTTTGATTTCTAGAGAACAACACACAGTATGTACAGATGTGGAATTAAGTTGTCCTGTGATGTTTGCAGGTTATTACCTATCTCTCACATATGGCTCCTACTCTTTAGTACACAGCAACATATTTGACGTCGGCCTTGATGACCTGGCTGTGTCAAGTATCATGCGATGTGTGTGTGTGTGTGACCCATGTTGTTTTGCAGCCTTTATAATTACAGTGAGGGAAAGCAAAAGAAGAGAGTGATCATGTGGTGGAGAGTACCATACTATTATACTTGCTTTAGCAGGTGGTATGTGTGTGGCTCAGACAATTGGTCAGTAGACGTTGTATTCAGTGTGGGATTAGGAACAGAACGCCAGTAACGTGCTTTATCTCCACCTGCTGCTGTCACACCTGACACACACACACACACACACACACACACACACACACATCCTGGTGTCACTATCTTCAAGGGGACCCGTCATTGACATAATGCTTTTGTTAGCCCCTGACCCTAACCTTAAATCTAATTCTAACCCTAACCCTGAAACCAAGTCTTGACTCTTAGCCATTTAAACTTGTGGGGACCAGCGGTTTGGTCACCACAAGGCTTTCGGACAATATAAGAATATATTTTGCTATTCATCTGATTGTTGCTCTCTCTTTAAATCACTTTTTCCATATGTAGCTCACTCTGTAACTTTTCTCTCAGCTTAGTTTTCTTCAGAAAGGAAAAGGCTTAGATAATCGGAATTTAGGAGTTTAAACGTAAAAATGGTTAAATGTGAATGGGACCACACATTTGGTTAAAAAATAATAAATCTGTGATATAAACTAGTGTTGGGCGATATACATTTGTCTACTATTAGAGATTGCCACACCATTTATACTGTGGCATCCATCCCTTTAGTATCTCTGGGTCTAGGTCATAAGCGACATTGCAAATCAATGAGCAGAGCTGCTTTATGGCGATTTTGGATTTTTGAAATGAATTTATAAATTAATTAATCAGCTGACCTGCAGTAAATTATCAAATATTAAATACTATTTTGATAACTGTTTAAAAGGTTCCTTGTGGAATTTTTAACCACTGTTAAAGCTTTAGTGGAGTGTTTTCAGTGCTATTCCACTAATCTACAGGTGGCGGTAGCATGTCATGAAACAGACTAACACATCAATAAAGTCGGTAAAAAAGAAGACTGCAAACACGGCAGACATTAAGCAATGCAGGTTCAAACTTCCACTTTGCAAAATGTTTTAAGGAGAAGGAAATGCATTCTGCACGTTTGTTTCAGGTCAAGGATACACCCAAGGCATTTTGGTGAGTAACACTGAATGTAAACAGAAACACTGCTTGTTTACAGGAAAACTCAGAAGAGAACTAGTTGGTAATTTTTTATTATGTAATTAGCTTTTAGGAAATTTACTATTGCTGTTCCCTATTTTCTGACATTCTATAGACAGAGCAATTCATTGAGTAAAATCATCGACAGATTAATCGATAATAATAAGACCAATAATCCTCACTTGCAGCCCTACTGCGTCAGGTATGTAATTCCCTGGATTAGCCAAAAAACAGACATTCCTGTCAGCTGATTTCATCAATAAAATTTTGATCAATGTAGTGAAATGTTACAATCTCCCAAAATATATCAATTTCTCAATCAAATATTACAGAACCACATTAGAGGATTTTTTCCACGTCACACACCCCAAAGTCAGCTACAGAACTTCAGTGTATCATATGTATCAAGCCAATATGAGGCTCAAGGTGTGAAAAACACTCCTACAGCATCGAAAGCTGTCAAAAATACATTTAATCTCATTTTATTCATTTCACGTTTGTCTGTGTGCTGCTTTCCAATGTATATTGTAATGTAATAATCAAAATGTTGTTGATGTCATGCAGCCCTACCAGCAAGAGTTTTTTCTAATAAACAGTGTATGGGATATATTGTGAGTAATACATAATTGTCATGCTCCACAATAATTAACCCCTCTGTGCTTCTTTTCCGCTTTTAATTTAAAATACAGATAGCAAAAAAAATCACTGTAGATACCATGACTCTCTCTTTCTCTCTTCCTTCCCCTTCATGATCTCTTCCTCTGTTTTACCTTCTCTTTTATTTCACTTTATACCACCAGAAATGACAACATGCCATCTGTGCTGAGTAGTTATTAAGGCTTTGTTGTTGACTGTGAAAGAGGCGCTGTGTGTGAGAGTACTGTGGGGAGGGAGCGTGAATCAGGAATGTGATTTACACTTGAGTGCCGTATTGTCTTCAAAATGCTCTATTTTCTAGTCTGAGACCAGAGAAGGGGGGGGGGGGGGGTGATGAGTGATATTTGGTCCGATGAGCTATAAGAAAGAAAGAAAGAACTTAGCAGGAAGAAAGAGTGAGAGCATGTGCTGTCTGTGACTGGCTGCTGACTCAGACACACACAAACACACACACACATGTTTATTGTGTGATTAACACATACACACAGATTTCCAGACAGTCACTAGAGCTCATCTGTATTCGAAATGATCCACACACACACACACACACACACACACACACACACACACTGATGTTCACTTTTTGAATGTGACACGCAACCTCCCAGATGCTCTGACAGTCATTGATGTAACATTCTTCTGGATAATAACATAATTACTGCATTAAATCAGCTGGTGCCTCCAGCTTAGACAGCATGCACATACAAATACACACAGAGTGCAGAAGAGAAGTGAAGCAGAAAAGCGCATATGCTTATGTGTAATAAAAAAGAAGGAGACACAGAAATGATTGTGGTGACGGAGTAATTAAAAGAGGCATGTTTAAGTCTCTGTGTTGTTTATTTCAATGTGTATTTATGCGCTCGCGCGTGTGTGTGCGCACATATGTGGGAGATTGCCACAACTCATGAGACTGAAAACACAGATGACCATTGTGTTCACACACCTCGTGGGCACTGACTGTGTGTGTGTGTGTGTGTGTGTGTGTGTGTGTGTGTGTGTGTGTGTGTGTTTGCAGCAGTGGGCAGTTGTGCTGACTAGATGGTTGGCACCAGTCTCAATGAGAGGCACAATGCCAACACATCCCTCTACATCTGCGTCACAAACTGTCTGCCAACTCACTCTGTCTCTCTCTCTCTTACACACACACACACACACACACACACGCACAGTGTAGGAAACACTTAAGGTAGCTTGGACAGGTTTAAAATCAAAAGCGTGAGATTCAACTTGCCTGCTGAAGGCTGGCTCTATCAGCGTGTGTTCAGGTCTTTGCTTAGCGGTGACAAGATCAGGGAGGCAATTACAAAGATAAGTGTGCTCATAGTTCCCAAAAATGCCAAACATTCACCAGTGAATGACTTTCAAAATGATACACAGTGAATCACAAGGCTGCAGCTGGTAAAATCGTTACATCCACAGACTTTGTGATCCTAAGGGGTAGTTGAATTATCTAGAAATACTTCAGTTGAAGTTTAAAACTAAAATCACCTAAATTTGATGTTTGGCAATCATGCTCATCACGTCTGTCACTCAGAAACATGTGATGCAAGGACTGGTCACAAAAATGTGATCTAAATGTTCAGAGCCAGAATCACAGGACAAAATGATGTAAGACTCTACATTACGTGCATGACGGGTGTCACCTTGAGCCTCCAGAACAGCTTCAGTGCTCACTTGTCTTAGTCCCTGAACTCTATAACTCTGGATATTCCCTCATCGGGTCGGGTGTTTTGGTGATGGTGTTGGAGAGTCAGTGACCCCTCGTGCATGCCAGCATTTGTAATGTTTCTCCACTCATTTATTCAGGGTTTTCCTTTAATTTGTGAGTGAAGTAACACAATACACAATCAGACTAGAACAGGGAGCTAACACAAGGTGTAGCCATTAAACATTAGATTACAGCATTCTTTGTAAGCAACATAATTATATTATTAACTTGTTCAGGCTGCAGCTTATAAATAGAAAGTAGACTCTGAACAACTTATAGTTAGTATAGTATTAATTATTATTAGGCATATATTAGACATCATATATTGTATTAGGCTATATATAACAGTATTAGGGTAACATTAATATCTAGGAATGTACAAAAAGCATTTCACATGCACACAAGCATGTGTGGTTTTTGAGCATTTAAAGGTTTCCTGTGGAGTTTCTGTAACACTATGGAGCAGTTCATCCATGAGTGGGTCCCTGTTTTGTTAATCTCCTCCACGGGCACGAGAACACACATGTGACGCGATGCTCCTTCCTGCCAGTGGTTTCACACTATTCCACTGATCAACAGGTGGCGGTAACGAGCCAAGATAAGCAGCAATGCGACAGCAAAGGCAGTGAAGAAGAAGACCGCAAGCAAGTAAACATGCATTTAAGATACTTTTAAAACTTTTAACCTACTTTGCAAATGTTTTGTGAGGTAGGGAATGCATTCGACACATTAGCTGGAGCTCAAGGATGCACAGAATGTGTTTTGGGGCGTAACACTGACTGTAAACAGAACTTTAGTTTGTTAACAAGGAAACTCCACAGCACTCTTTAACACATGGGAATATGAATTTCACATATGCTATTTGCTTAAGGAGGCTTGACAAAGCATCATAATATTTTATAAGACTACTAAATGTTTTGTATGTACAGTGTTTATCTGCAAATGTTTCTAGTGAAATTCTTAATCTGCAAAGTAGCTATTAGCTGTCGAAAAAATGTAGTGGAGAAGTTCATATTCGTGTCCAGATGTTCTTTAGAAATGATCAATCGACAGAATGAAAAAAAATTGACAGAATGAGCACCAATCACATCATTTGTAGCACAGCCAGGTAAATCAACACATCACAAATCTTCCCACATGACATCTGAGACCAAAAGTAACCCGCTGCGTTACTTTAAAAACTTACACTCGGTTTTAAAGCGAGTCTGAATTTCCACTGCATTTTACCCTGCTTCCTCTTCTTATTCACAGTGGTTCGCAGTGTGAGAGTGTGAGAGTTCTCCTGTCTTTGTGTGTGTGTGTGTGTGTGTGTGTTAGTAAATGGATGTGGGGGTTGACATGGTTCTCTCTCAGAGGAAGTCTGTGGTTGGGCCGTTTCTACATATTTTCCTCTCTCTCTCTGTCACACACACACACATTTTCCCTGTCATGCCAAATGAAGCCTTCTTTTAAAAGCACCATGCAGCCCCACAGATGTGGAAGCCATCTCTCTCCTTAACTCTTTCTAACACACGCACACACATACACACACACAGAAAAACATTCACTCGAGTAAACACAAAAACCCACAGTCTCTCGGAGTGCGGTCTCCCCTGCAACCCCGGTGCAGTGTGGGTAGCTGTGGTAAAAGAGGTCCCTGTGAGAGGCTGTCCAAAAATAGCCTGAGTAAAAATGCAGGAACGTGGAGCTCGCCCAGTGTCACACAGAAAAATCCAGTCATTTGTGTGTTTGTGTGTCTGTTGGGGGGAGTGTTTGATTTTGTTGATTTATTCCTAAATACTTGTTTACTTGGATAAAAATACCACCTAAAAATACCACATAAAAACTTTCTACCCTGGGAAAAACAGCTGCCTGTAGTCTCTTTGTCATGGAAACCAGTGTCATGGGAATGAAGAAGACAATGAGACAAAGAGAAGAAATAGAAAGAGAGCAAGTTAGATCTTAGCTTATTCACTCCACATTTATTGTATCATGCTTTGATACAGGTTGTTTTATCATCTTCATACAGCTCTGTGTGAAAGCCTATCCAAAGTGTTCTTTATGGAAGATACCGCATGTTTATGCATATTTTCTCAGTCTGATAGTGTTTTAGATAAATGTCCATTGGAGTCATCAAGCCAAGGGGCTCTTTACCTACCAAATGATCCACTATGTTCAGTTTTTTTGTTGCTGAAAACAGATGCCTTCTGCGGCCAGAACAACCCAATAAGATGAGTGAGAGTGAACCAATCAGTAAAGTTGCAGGCCGTAAACCAAAACAATGAAATTAGAGATGCTCTCTGTGGGACTGAGGGAAACTGCAGTTGGGTGATAATTCTCTGTGGGTATGTCACTATTGTTCACTATTCTTGTGATCCATTGTTACAATGCTGATTAATTAATTAAATTAATTGAAATTAATCAAGTCCTATAAAATATGCCATATAAATTGCTTGCATATCGCTAGATAGTCAGGAAGGAAAATCTAGACGATAACAAGGTAAATATTGGATTCTTAAGGCCACAAGACGGATATTTGAGAACAAAATGAAAGTAATATGCTGCCACAAGCAGTTAGGAGGTAATTTGATGCAGTTTCGTGGTAATTGTTGTATATTTTGGAGCTGTTAAAAGAAAGACCTGTTACTTAAAAAGCTACAGAGAAGGTCAAAATGCAACTCTTACTTGACATCTGGAAATCACCTTTTCTCTTAACAAAATATGTTTTAGTTCAACTCACATTGCAGCAACTTGAATTTAGATAGACTGCCAAATCTCAACGGAGAAATGGTTCTGTGATCCTACACATTCCTTCACATTACAAAAATACACACAAACACACTCACATATTTGGTGGTTACATTGCTGCCCTCCTAGAGCCACATCCATGTGATATAACCAGGAGCTGAGAAAGAGACATGGTCTGACCCTCCTCTTCCTGTCTGACAGTCTGACGCTGCTGACTAGGTTTACTGTGCTGCTCAGCGTACATGAGGAAGAGAAAGAGGTTCATAGAATATAGATAAGCACTTTTAGTCACCTTATTATTGCTGCTAATTCTCCCACTATCCTGCTCTCCCTTTCACTGATAGACAATATAGACGCTACACAAAGTCAAAAAAGACAGACGTAACGATTTGTAGACTATTCTTGACTGGTTAATGTTGTTGTTGAATTTTTTTGTCATTATCATGCCTAACTGAAGACACGTGAGGAGTGAAGGAACATGAACATTTATTTTCAATAAATAAGTAAGTAAAACAGGAGCTGGGAGCTGCAGCCTGAGATCATTATCCCAGGATAAAAGACTACAGTCATATTTTAGCTGTCAGTGTGTGAATAAAGGCATTGAATAAGTTACAGACCCCGGGCAGTGGCCATAAAAATTAACACACGCACGCACACAAAAAGTGATGAAAAGAAGAAAATGTTTTTAGGCGTCTAATATTTACTTTGGATCACTTTGTCCACACTCAGTCCAAAAGAAACGCTTACTTTTCCACTAAAACAGGACTGACACCCTGCAGCAGCAAACACACACACACATAAAGATTCACAGATTGGTACACATGTATCCTTACACACATTCATGCAGACGCACTAAGTTTAACTGATACATACAAGTGCGTGTGCGTGTTTGTGTGTGATTTACTAGTCCAACACTCAATTGTACTGGAGAGGTGTTGACGTAGTTGGTGGTTTTTCCTCTTTCACAGCAGTAACAGGGGGCAGAGGAAGGAGAGGCCACCATCTCCCAAACACAGAGCTTTTTATTATTCTGGAGAAACAGCTGACGGTTTCTGATTTAAGAATTGCAATTTTGTATGCAGCCCCAGGTCATATTAGGCTGCTGCTCCTCCCTAAGGCTACTGTAAAATTGGCCAATAATAAAGTCATGAGAAACAGAGACTCAACATTGTGTGATTATGGAATAGCATCAGATCTCAGTCTTTGTGTCTTATGGCTTGTCTTATTTTCCGTGCAGCCTTTAACACCTTAGATTTACATCAGAGATTTTCCATCATCAGAGGGTTTTAAACATTACCAGCAGAGGAACTTAACAGAACAAATGTCCAGTCTCACACAGGACACACGTGCAATGAAATACCAAAATACTTAACTAATGCTACAGTAAGTTTCAAATCTGCAGTACAGTGTCGGAGTGAAGCCATACAAATGAAATACAGGCATTAATATGTCTCTCTCTCTCTCTTTCTGTCTCTAAACAGGTCCATTTAAAGGCCCCTATGATCTTAAACGGGGTGTGTGTGATCTGGAGAGGCTGGATCGACCTACAGAGGCTGGATGGGATGGGATGCCTGGAGTATGATGACGAGAGGGCGCAGGTAACACAATACATGGAAACAGTACAGTCTGGGGTTGTGGAGTTACAAAGAGGTGAGCTTACCAGAGCTCTGTAGCCAGCTCCCCAGACTGGACTGTCGGCAGTCAAGCAGTATTGTGGGTGAAGTGGGCGCCAGGTTTTGGCAAGGAAGAAGAGCACATGCTATAAAAAAAACACACTTTTGATGCTTTTCGTTAAAAATTGTCCATTATGAATCCACCAAAGTTAAAGCAGTCAATCCTGGTGGAGTACTCCTTTAAACAAAAGAAATAGCTGCTTTATAATGTGTCTCTTTTGTCATTGAGACCTCTTTGTCACACAAGAAACCCAACCAACTTTCACTCTGTGTGTGTGTGTGTGTGTGTGTGTGTGTGTGTGTGTGTGTGTGCAGCATGAAGATGCTTTGGCCCAGGCAGCCTTTGAAGAGGCTCGACGCAGAACCAGAGACTTTGAAGACAGAGACCGATCGCACAGAGAGGATCTAGAGGTGAGAGGGCCCTGTAAAGGTGTTGCTTATGGAGGACTGCTGCTGGTCATATGCAAGAACAAGTGGTTTGTTACTGGACAGTGCAGCACCAACTGTAACAGGACAAATCTGCTTCCTCTTTAAACCTTAGCCTCACAAAGCCAGCCTAAATGTCATACATTCTGATTTTGCTTCAAGATTCTTAATGAACAAGTGCTGGGAGTCATTTGGTCCCAGTAATCTGTGAACTGAGCTCTACTTGTGGTTTACAGAGACAATATTGTGACTTGATCGGTCACTCGTCAACCACTACTTTAAGAGTAACTTAACACCATACTGAAAATGCATTGTTTCTCACAAGTCTGTTGCACCTCTGACCACAACCATCATCATTGTTGGGTGTGGTCAAAAGTGTGCCCCATTGCACCTGTAAGCACACCCAACAGGGATGACTCAGTGAAAATGTCACGTTTGTGGGCTGGCTTTGGAAGGCTAGACTAAACCAACTGGAAATTTACAAATAAATTTAAATTTACAAATATTATTTTCAGATTTACTTATTCATAGATCTAACCAAGCATCATCAAAACAGCTTGCTTATAGTACTATTTGCATTGTCTTGCAAACCACTCAGAAGATTATTTGGTACTTTTTGTACCAAATAATCTTTTGTAAAATTTGATTAACAGTAAATATGTACATACTTTATTACAGAGATAATTGGTTAATATTTACCAAATGTAACTTAAATTTGTTCTACATTTTCCATAGTTCCTTAAGTCTATAATGATTGGTGTTTAGAGAAGACTAAACACTCTTTTTTTAGAGCCACTGGGTCAAATTTCCAGAAGGACTTTCTTTGCTTAGCGCTTGGGGTGGCTTAGGGTTGTGTGATGTGTGGTTGTGAGCTTTAATATTTTTTTTATTTAAATAGCATTTCTTCACTTTGAATCATAGGTTTAGTGCATGATCAGTTTGACGATAAATCTAATCTAATAATTGATTTCATATTATTTAAATATTGAATGACTGATTCAGTTTTGTCAGGTGTCCCAAAAGCCTCAGAAGGGAAAGTAGTTTATTTACTTACCCAAATCACATCAACAATCGTAAAACCTTCCCAGAAATGTGATTTGTCTTAAGATCTGTTCTTTAATTGTGTTTTTTTTGGTAAATTATCTCTTTGTACAAGTTTGTGCTGCCCAGATGTCTTGTACACAAAGTTATACGCTGTCCGTTTGAATTTTGAAATCGTCCCAAATGCATTTAACTACTTGAGACAAACGCACTTTCCCAGCAAGGCTTTGGGGAGATCAATGGCATCCTTCATAAGTTGACGCCCTACGAATGAACCCCAAATTGTTTATTTTTTAGGACCCTGTGGTTTCTAAAATCTGGGACTGATGACACACAGACAGACAGCCAGCAGAAAAGAACAGGGTCTGTGTCCTTCATTTCTCACCATCTATCACACTGTCATGCACTAAACCACCCTGTGTGTGTGTGTGCATGTGAGTGTGGTTGTGTGTGCATGTGAATGTGTCCATCTGTTTAATATATGTATGTGCATTCTTGTGTTTGTCCATCCTTTTTTTGTGTGTTTTTATTTTAATGTATGTGTGTGTTTGTTCATGAACATGCATGCTCTTCTGATGAATTTTATGACTATACTATCTGCTCCTGCTTGTGATATGCGTGTGGGGCATGAGAGGCAGAAATGGCAAGATGTGACCATTACATAGCTAGTTTGCACTATGGCACACACTCACACACAGACACACCGACCACATCTTTGCAGCACATGGTCCTGCAGAAATTAGAGAGAAAGGAAAGGCAGGAACTCAGCACATGATGAGAACAGAGGGGGAGAGAAGCACAGATAAGAAAAGAAAGAGGAAAGAAAAAAAGAGGCATTTATTGAAGGTCGTCTTTCAACTGACTGATCTCATGTTTCTTCACTGAGGCTCTCCGAGAAAAATAAAACCTTGTGTCTCCTGCTGAATCAATATAAGTACCATCACTATCCCCTAAAACATACACTCTGTAAAAAGGCATTTAAATTCACACTTCACCAAGTCCACTTCACACTTTAGGTTCTATTCATATCTAATTTAATGAGAATTAGATGATAAAATATATCCCATTTCATGTCTGTGTTTTAAGTATGAAACTAGAGCCTTTCTGCTAGCTTAGCCTAGCATAAAGATTGGAAACGGGGAAATCGCTAGCCTGGATCTATCCATGGTAAAAACAAAAACCTGCCTACCACCTCTTCTAAAACTCACTAATTAACATGTTACATCTCACTACATTAATCTAGACACAAGCATAAATGTAAAAATTTCAAGTTGTAGTTGTACTGTGCAGTGTTTTTTGGATTCTCTGCTGGATGTCTGGCAAATTCACAGCAATGACAACACTCTAGGAAGCTGATAGATATAATGTTTTAATTGGTGACCTTTAACGGTGCTCTTTGGGTAGATTTTTAACCAGCACAGAGCCTTGCTAGCTGTTTTCCCTGCTTCAAGTTTTTATGCTAAGCTAAGCTAACATAGGTGTCATACTTAACGGACCAACAAAAATATGAGAGCGGTACCAAACTTCTCAACCAACTCTCGACAAGAAAGCAAATGAGGGTATTTCCAAAAACGTCAAACAAGGGTACAAGGGTAAGACGAAACAGGAACAAACAGAAAAACAGAGATACTAAAAGCAATTGATTAACTGATTAGGACTTGGTCTGCACTTCTCCCTAGATGATCATTTTAAAGGTTAAAGTTGTTAAAAGGCTTTTACTCCCACATCTAACAGTAGGACCAAACATGGGTCACCTTTAACCAAGGAACCAGACAAATCTGCCGAGCCCTGGGAGAAATTTCTGGCCCCCCTCCCATTCAGACTCATTTCCACCCATCCTGGATCTTGTCGGGTCAATCACGTCGTTTATTAAATATGGGGCAGGTTTGATATGATGACTGAGTCACATGTTTTGCTGCTCTGATTGGTTGTAGGCTCGGACCTGTGTCCCGTCTGCAGGTCCATCCAGCGCAACAAACTCAACACACAGCAAAACTCTTAAATTAAATTATAATCGTCAGACTAGGCAGTGCTGATCAAATATGAATCAAGATTCTGTTACTACACACATGTTAGCGTACTGTTTGTAATTTGTGAAAGTTTGTGACAAAGATCAATAACAGCCAAAAAAATGGCGGCTGGCAGCAGTGTGGCTGATTGTGGTTGCAGTGTGCGATAGAGTGGGTGGAGCTAGACAGGGGGTTTTAAAGGCCTGCCAGCAGGTGCCAGAAGCTGCGGAAATTATGGGGAGGAGTTTTCTTGGTACCTTTAAAACAGAGCGCAGAGTAGCCTTGGACATAACACCAGGCCGCCATCTTTTTCCTGCTTGAAAACCAAGCACCGCCCCAACTTGTATGTGTCGCTCAGCGCTACGTCACATGTATATATTTCTGATTGGTTGTCACTTTCAGAATTTTAGGTGATTTACGACTGATTTCCTCTTTTGACAAAATTCCCCGGTTATAATTCATCTCTGGAGACATCATGACTTGAAAACTGTACAAAATACTGCAACTTTGGCTATCAAATGCCTACATTCTAAAATATCTCAATAGATATCTCAATAGCACAACAAATTCCATTTAGTTTGGCTAATAAACTAATAAACATACTGTGTATTTAAGGCCACAGAGTGTAAAAAAACACTTTACACATATTCTTGGGAGATGTTTGACTGCTTGAGTTTGTTTTAATACTTAGTTCATCATTTTGTATCTATGTGCAGCGCAGTAGTGACTTCTTCAGAGTATGGGTAGGGAACAATAGAGAAAGAGTAGAAAGTAAATAGCCTAAGTTGGAATTTTGATGGAATTAATATTTAAAAAAATGCTATTATAATTATCAACAGAAATGCTGTTATTGTCTTGCAGATGAGATGAAAAGCCATTGCAAAATTAGTTTCATAACACAATGTCTGTATGAGCCTAATTTTTGGGATTAAGATTGTGAGAAACAGCAGTCGCAGTGGGCTCCTGCAGATCTCCTCCGAGCGGTTTATTTGGGTGTAACTGACGAGCATTGCTGAATAGCGGCACAGATTCAGCCCCTGCATTTCTGTGGTCTGAACTCCACCTCTCCTTCTGTCTCTCTTTCTCTCTAACTCTCTCCAGTTAGCTGGTGAACTAGTTATCTCTCTGTCCTGTCTATACTGTATGTAATTCAACGGCTCAATGAACATCTTCTGCCTATCAGACAGAGACAGATGTCACTAAATGTGTGTTTTTGTACTTGTTCTGTTGTTTAAAGTGAAATTAAATTAAATTGTTCCACCTATATCCACAGTCTACATTTGTAAAACATACATTTAGGTTTCTATTATTGTAAATCAATAATAGATGATCAGGCAGAAAAGCAGACGCGTAGCACACCAGACGATAAACATCTCACTCAAAACCAGATAACTGAAGATTTTATCAGTAGCTATAGATGAAACCAATACATGTACATTTAAATCCATTTCTTTTACTGGGTTGAGCAGCTTTCATTACAGAAAAGCTCAGAAGAAAAACACTGTCTTGTTTTCTCATGGGTGCTCGCTGATTCTCCTTCAATTCCCGAAGCCATGTCATTTTGGCGGATACAACATTTTTCATCCAAAAGCAGTGATATTCCAGTCATTCAAGGTCAGAAGGCTCCTGTCAGGATGATAGATGGAGAAGCAATAGATCTGGAAGAAATGTGTGTTTTAACGAGACACACGCACATTCGAACACACACACACACATACACTTCTCCAAGTGCTCAGCAGAGAGAGATTTGGTGGTGAATGATGAGCTGGCACTGAAAGCATTAATATATCATTAGTATTGATCGGCATCAGACCCCCTGCTTTGACTTACGTACACAGACACATACACACTTTCAGAGACACATTCAAATACTGTACAGGCACATGTGCACAAACTCGCAGATACAGCAAATCTGCTCTAACTTTGTCACCATACACACGCGCGCACACACACACATACACACACACACTTCTCCAGTATTGAGCTGCGGTTAAGCAGCCCATAGTGGCCCAGCAGGCTTCCATCTGTGTGTGGATCAATACAGAAAGCTCTTCTGCCTTTGTCATTAGCAAAGACCACTCCCTTCTACAAAGACAAACACTACACAACTAATGGCCGGAATGTATCATCAACAGTGCGAGTGTGAGTGAACAGTGGATTTTTGGTCACAACTGTTTTTTTACATTCTCACATTTTGCCAGGCCGGCTTTTATGGAATTTGCTGTGGATTATATTTCAGTCTTGTCCATGTCCATCATCTGAGTGTATTTTAAATCATTCCAACCTCAAAATAGCACGTAACTAATATTGTAAATTGTAATCAGATAACTGAGCGTTTGCTAATAGTGAAATTAGGTCGAAAAAATGTGAAGTGAAACTTCAGTTGAACAGGCTTTTCTCACAGCAGACATTTTGACTTGTCAAACACAGGTATAATCACATCAATATCTGCTGCATGCCAATGCAATAATTGGTAGGGAGAACTGTAAATGTTGTTAGTCCCACCTGTGCTTTTCCTGCTTTAATGTCTTAATGTCTTAAGACATTAATCTGACATATCATCAGCTTTTATTTCAATATAGCTAACTTGTTAGCAAACAGTTTAATTTAAGCCACTTTAGCATTCATTTGGAGTCGTGCTTCTGTGTGACTGCAGCATTCACTGTCCTTTTATCCCTGGTTTTGGTCTCCACCAACTCCTGAGGGAAATATCTGGGTCATTAGCCGCTAAATGCTAGTCGCTAACCGTGCTAGGCATTTATCGTTAGTGTACAGGGGGTTATGTGGGTAAGTGAGTTTCACTGAAAACAGCTGCCTCATGCGCGGTGAGAGTAAACCAAAATAATGGCATAAAATAGAAAAGGTGGGGAAACCAAAAGAATTAGCAAAACATGCTATAGCACTCATCACTACAGATGCAGAAAAAGAATAAATATAAAAATACCTATTATAGCATCTTTGTTGAACACGTACACACCCACCACCTCAATAGTCATATTGTTTGCCCCACTACATTAACCTCACACTACTTGAACATTGGCTGTAAACATGCTGCAGAATCATCCAATATGACCTTAATTCCTTGGGAGACTGAGTGACACAGACATAAAATGGTGTTATACTGAACATTTAAGAGTTGATTTTGTTGCGACTTCACTTTGATCCTAAATCAAAGCAGCAGAAAGCTTTCCAGAGGAGACAGACAGAAACTGGAGTCAGTCTGGCTGTGAGGAGTCAAAATGGTAGTATGACATACTGTATGTGTGTGTGCATGTGACTGCGTGTATGTTGCTATTATGGTGAGTCACTGAGATGACACAAACTACATTCCAGTTGAACTAAGCAACCCCTTTACTATCTCGGTCTGCATTTCTGTCTGCTCTGCTGTCTGCCTCACCTTTCCCCACGCCTTGTCACCTCCCTCTCCTCCCCCCTCCCAATTTCCCTCAGCTATCACTTAAATGTAAACATGTAACCACAAGAATTTATTTACAGCAGGAGCAGGTCATGCCACAGGCTCTCTCTCACACACACACACACACACACACACACACACACACACACACTACACCCAGTCACGAAATATATTTAAAAGTCTTGTCATACTGATGGCTTCTAATGATGACCTAATGACCACAATGTGTGTGTGTGTGTGTGTGTGTGTGTGTGTGTGTGTGTGTGTGTGTGTGTGTGCGCGCGTTCATCTGTATCAGACAGCCTGTATGTCTGCCAGCTACCTTGACGAAAATATCAACATCAGTGAAGTTTATGCACAGCCATGTTATAGTAACGTTCTCTGGCTCCCTCTATGGACAGTTTGTGAAACTGCAACTTCTTTTTGTTACTGTCACATCAGCCAGTAGTTGTAAAATAGGTGTTTCATCCTCCACAGGCACCAAACAGAGTACAGTTATTCACATTTGCATCCTTGTTAGTTCCCTTCCGACTCTTCGTGACAAGTAAACTGAACTCTATTTCTAACATGTGGTGGTGTGCCCAAATCAGAACATACAACGATTTGTACCGGTGCTCAATCAGTTTTATTCTATTTTATTTTATTTACATAGCGCCAAATCATAACAGAAGTTATCTTAGCATGTCCAGACTGTGCTCTTTATAATATTAGTTACGGAGACAATTCCCACCATGAGTAAGCACTTGGTGACAGTGGAGTTTAAAAGTCAGAAACCTCGAGCAGAACCTAAACTCAGGGTGGGCGAAAGAGAGAAAGATAACATACAATCATACAATAACATAATAAATGTTTTTAATACATTTTATAATACATAATTATAACCAGTTATAAGACATAAATTGTCTAAGAGGCTACAGTGCGTTATAATAATGTATGAATTGTTTTTACACATGTGCAAATCAGTCACAGGCAGTTTATCCAGTCAATAAACAAACCAGTCAGGCAAATCATTAAACCTCACTGTTACTGATGGTGAAATGTATCATATATACATTTTTATGTATTTTAAAAACTGTACTTAATGTATTGTCTTTCTATCTGATCCCTTTCTTGCTATATTTCCCATATCCTCTGTCCTGTCTAACCCTCACCCTTCTCTCCACCTTTCTCCACGTCTCTCCCCTCTCCTTCCCTCTTTTCTCCCCCTCTTTCATCCTTCCATCCCTCTCTCTCCCCAGTCCAGACGACAGCAGGACCACAGCCCTGGCTCAAACATGGCCAACGCTGATGTAGAACACAAGATGCGCTGAGGAGGACAAGGAAGTAGTGGAGAGAGGAAGAGGAGAAAACCAGGGCTGGCTGTCCATTCACTTTAAATACAATCAACTGGGGAAACAAATGTCAATTGAAGCTGCAATTGTAGACCAATTGTTCACCATTATTTCCTAAGTGGTTTGAAATGATCATTTTTACACGCCAAACATTTTTCGAGATATTTAAATTTAGAAGACAATAAACTTCCTGAAGTGATTGAATTGAAAGTGAAGCAAGCCCTAGAAAAGAAGGATTAAAGGACACAACAGACCTGGGCAAAAAGTTGTTGAATATATTTAAAAACAGAGGAAGGAAAATAAGCTGATGTGAAGGTGTTTATTGAGTCACATGAGTGTTTCAGATACATAAAGTGGAGAACCAGACATCAAAAACTTTGATAAAAGATATCAAAGTTTTTGATGTCTGGTAGGAGAATGTCCAGGTCTTCAAGCATTTATTGGATAGGGGTAGATACAAATACCAAAAGTATATTTTCTATTAATACAAGATGTTGAAAATAGAGGTAGAGGGGTTGTAAGAGGTTACAAATGTTATTGGGGGGTGGGGGTGGGCAGAAGCCAGAAAGAGCAGAGAAAAAAGAGATTTGTTTGCCTCAGGGTCACAGTCCGGGCTTTTTGGTCAGGATTACCAGTAGAGCAGCAGCAAACGTGAGGTGTTGATAAAAAAAAGAACAGAAAATAGAAGCGATTCTGCATTGTTCAGTGTTGTGCAACACTTCACATTTGTGAACATGCCCCCGCTATACCTTGCTCCCTTCCTGAAACCTGCTGTTTTCTTAGACCAAAGTTTACGTTGCTGGAAAGGGAGGGGAGGGAGCGAATAAAAGTAGGGGAAACTGAGTCACACTTTAAAAAGTGGGCAGGAGGGAAGAGCTCATCCAGAGAGAATTATGCAAGGTTGTAGGGCTGAGAAGTGTTTGCTATTGTGATATTCATGATCACTTTAAACCATCCTTATGGTGAGATGCGCATGATTGTAGAATCACAGGTTATGTGGCAACAACCTTGAGGCAGGACGGTTAGCAAAGAAAACTACTACAAACTCTGCTGTCTTTGGCTCTGGAAGCGGTTTGGGGTGGGGTAAATTTTAACGTCCTTTGTCTTCTGAGGGGTTTTGCACTATGTGATACAATCAGATTTGTTCTCCAAGTGGATTTTCTTTATATGCATGAAACCAAACACAGGCCTACCTATGTTCTTTATTGTTCCCTATGCAGCCTATTTATCGTGAGAGCACTCACTTAACAGCGCTTTGATAAGGAATAACTGGGTGATTCAAGGCTATGTCACTGTGAAGCCAAATTTAAGGGTACTCGCAAGCTCAACAAAGCACAAAAGCATCTGTTTTTTTTAAACAAGGTTATGTTTGTGTCCTAATGAGACACTTGAGCAGAGAAAATGCCACTTTTGTTGCCAATGCGTCACCCAGGTGCACTGAGAATCAGATCAAATGCCACTCTGTGGTGACCGTGCATGAAAATGGTGACCCCTATCCTTTAGTATCTGTATACACCTCTGATCAAAAAATTAAGCATATTTCTTTTTCAGAGCTACAAGGTCATCATTACATTGCATCGCTGTGGTTTTAAATTTTTAAGGATTTAAGTGGTGCTTTATGGGTTGAGAAAAGTGTCCTATATTTAAAAAAAAAAAACATTGGGTGTACTGAAAAATGCAGTGTCACACAGCCGAAAAAAGTTTTGGTGATACATGGTTTTCAACGGACAGTGATGATGAGTAACATGCTACTTAGTATAACATGCTACTATTCCAATTGATATCAGCCAAGACACAAGTTCACATCCACCAGTTGCATTTGTCACATGTTACTTCTGTCACCTTAAATATAAAAAAATCGGATTGCAATCAACATTGATAATTACTCAGCTTAGATGATAGACTATGCTCTCTATGGTACCAATTCAGTTTAGTTAGAATCCAACTATTGATCGATCAATCACCCAGATATTCCTCATCATTAAAGAACTGTACTAGTGTAATGAAATGGTTTTGTTATCTTATCGTTTTGTTTGTGTGAAAGTCATGATGTTTACTTTTTATATTACTGCTCACTTCTGTATATGTACTCATTTCTGTTCATCTTTCAGCTTTGTTATCAACTAGTAGTAGTAGCAGTATGCTATTTTATGTCAAGTTGAGTGGAAATTTACAAATTGTCTCCAGAAATGTGGGAGTTTGGAGGACTTTTGTTGCTTTGTTTTTCAATGTTCCATGTGTTCCTTTTATTAATGTTATTTTTATTGTTTGTTTTTTAAAGGTAATCCACTTCCTGGGTTAAATACATTGAATGTGGATTTACTCAAGTCCTGTTATTAGCGGTATAAATGTTTTTATATTGTGCAACTAGAAGCTCATTTCATTTTCCAGTGCAGTTATTTACAGTTAGTGCACTCAACGGTTTTATTATAATTATTATAACCAAGAAAAATCTTATTTTTATTCATGCTTTTCTGTTTTCCCTGTATGACTTATTAAGAATTTTAATGAGCTAAGCAAACTGGTGATTTTGTATCCATTGATAGTCATGTGTTTGTAACATTTTACAAGATGTTTTGGAGTAAAGAAATGTTGTTGCTAAAAATAATAGTATAAATTTAAATAAAAAAGTGAATTGGAAGCTCAAACATGATAAACTTGATGATAGGACCCCAGCCGGTCCACAGAGAGGTTGTATGATTTTAAAAGAACATGCAAAATAACTCAAAGAAACTGCTTAAGCCACAATGGTAACACATTTGTCAACTTTTCTACAGACTCATTAGCAAAAACTCTCAAGGCCAAATCATCAAGCTCAGGGTGCAACTGAAAACAATGCAGGAATTTCATCCTGACTTTTGGATACTACATGGCAGGACTTAATTGGGGTAACCTAAGGTCAGATAATTAACTCTCTCATTGGTAGCCTTTGTTAATTTTTTCCACACAGAGATTTGGGAGACTAGGGAGAAAAGCTTAAATGTTTAAATGTTTCTCAGAGCGTACTGATCCTGCAGTCAGCTGGCTGTGTGACTGTTCCTTAATAAGTTAAAAATGTGGAAAACACACTTTCTGTTTGAGGGAACCTTCAGTGTGATAAGCGGTGGTTTAAGGTTAAGGGGTTAGAGGAAGGCATTAGAACAAGTGGGAGCATAAAATGGGTTGTGGCCCAAGATGCAGCTCTTGTCATGTGGGTGAAAGCTGTCATAGATTTGCGTGTACAGTGGCTGTTTCCACAAAGTTGAATAATTCCTCATATGCAAAAAGTTAAAGGAGCCCAGCCGTACAGATCAGGACAGTAGTGCAAGATAGAAATTAAAATCAGTGGAAACAGACATTGGGTATGAATTGGTACAATGAGAGGTGAGGTGTAGGTGGACAGTCAGGGGCAGTTGGGATGATTTAGCCTGGGCACCAGGCTTTCTGTAGGTTTTTGGACATCAGTAAGTCAAGAATTAATTGGTTTTGTGTGTACTACAGCTGGACAGTGGTCAATCAAGCTGTTTCCTGGTTGACTCTTAGAAAAAAAACACCACCCATTGGTGATCTCATGAAATCTACCCTATCTGTATAAACTAGCACATCTCTTGGTCAGCTCTTTATGGATTTAAACAGTGCGCTCAGGTGATGAAACATTAGTGAGGGACTGATTGTAAATAACAAACTAAGTCAAATGTCGAGGTTGTATTTAGGAAGTGACCCCAGTGTATCACCCTGTCCCACTACACCCACCTAGTTAATCATTTTGCCGTTATTTAGATGGTTGCCCATGTAAACACCTTAGTTGATCCCTCAGTTTTCTTAATGCAGGCATTAAGGCAAAAAATAAACCAACATTTTTTTTTTTAACCTAAACTGTTTATCTTCTTATTTGTACTTAGTAGTTATTTATACTTTGGTTTTATTTAGAGATCCAAAAAAGAACTTTAGTTGCTTTGTTCTTCCTGTGTGTGGTCTGTCTTTCCCTCTGTTTAGGGTTGAGCTTGTCCTCTTAGAGGAAAATGAAATATGAGATATTCAATTTTAAATGTTGGATGTTTTTCATAATAAACATGAATGAATATATGTATTTGTTGCTGTTCTTTAATTTGAAAGTGGTACTTCACACACAGCTCCATCCACACAAATACACCTTGCCTGATTAGACTTCTTCTCAAGACTGTGTGGCGTGGCGACCGTGGTTGATTGACAGCTTACTTTCCAATTTGTTTTGTTTCTCCTGTTAGAGTGGAACAGCGTTCACGTTCACAAGTCTTATCCCTACGTAAAGTTTAGTGACATTGCGAGCATAGCTCTGCCCTTCTTCAATGAGAGCAGTCTAATCAGCCAGAAAAGTGAAAACACCTGTGGGAGTATGCACAGCAGACATTTGACTTGTCACAGAAGCAGGAAAAATGGGCAAGCATAAAGATTTAAGCGACTTTGACAAGGGCCAAATTGGGATGGATAGACGATTGGGTCAGAACATTTCCAAAATAGCAGCTCTTGTGGGGTGTTCCTGGACTGCAGTGGTCAGTACCTATCAGAAGTGGTCCAAGGAAAGAAAAGAGGTGAACCCGCAACAGGTTCATGGGAAGCAAAGTCTCATTAATGCACGAAGGCTGGCCTGTGTGTTCCCATCAAACAGATGAGCTCCTGTAAGTCAATTTGTTGAAAAAGTTGATGCTGGTTCTGATAAAAATGTGTCAGAACACACAGTGCATCATAGTTTGTTGCATATAGGGCTGCATAACTGCAGACCAGTCAGGGTGCCCATGCAGACCCCTGTCCGCTGCTGAAAACGTCTACAATGGGCACATGAGCATCAGAACTTAACCACGGAGCAATGGAAAAAGGTGGCCTTGTCTGATGAATCACCTTTTCTTTTACATCACATGGACGGCCAGGTGCATGTGCATGGCTTACCTGGGGAACACATGGCACCAGGATGCACTATGGGAAGCAGGCAAGCACGCGGAAGCAGCGAGATGCATTGGGCAATGTGCTGCTGGGAAACCTTGGGTCCTGCCATTCATGTGGAAGTTACTTTGACACGTACCACCTACTTTCCCCGATGACAGATGCCTCTTTCAGCAGTATTATGCGCCCTGCCACAAAGCAAAAATAGCTTAGGAACGATTTGAGGAACACAACGAATTCAAGGTGTTGACTTGGCCTCCAAATTCCCCAGATCTAAATCCAGTCCAGAATCTGTGGGATGTTAGGCCCCACCTCGCAACTTACAGGACTCAAAGGATCAGCTGCTAACATCTTGGTGCCAGATACCGCAGCACACCTTCAAAGGTCTAGTGGAGTCCATGCCTCAATGGGTCAGGGCGGAAAAAGAGACACCTACACAATATAAGGCAGGTGGTCAAGATGTTATGGCTGATCAGCGTATAGCAGTGCTTTTTCTGTTGTCAAAATGTTTTTTGGGAAAAACACATACATTTTTAATAAAGTTTCTTTAAAGAGACGCAGCTGTTGAAGTCATATTTTTATGGCTTTGATCAACACAAGAGTACAGGGAGCTGGTCAATCGTTTTGTGTCGTGGTGTGGAATAACACAATTAAAATAATCGATGACTCCCTCACAGGGAAAGGAGATGTATGTCTTCTGAATGACAATGCACACTCTACACTCATTTGCACAGAATTGTAGCTACTCTATATGTACAGAAGCCTAGTAGTGGAATGAATACATATTGCAAATGTTTTAAGCTCAAAGACACCTGAAACATATATGAGCACTGCAATATAAAAAATTAAGTTAAATAGGCTACTAATAGGGTGAACTCAGCTAAATTTGCCATCAGGTAAAATGGGCCATTTAAGGTTTGAGTGTCAAAAAAAGCCAACGGCTGCAAAGAATTTCAAACTTTTGCCACAACAGTACTTGACATTTAGCAAATTATTTTATTGGTCTCAGGTTACGACCATATCATCAAAAAGCATGGTGAGTGGCCTGACATATTCTCAATGACAAGGTTGATAAATCAATAAAAAACAATTGATGTTTAGAAATAATGAGTCATAACCCATGTCTTCATTGTCCAATTTCAAAATGATGAAATTTTGCCCATTTTATCTAACAAAAAAAATTTTTAGTTAGATAAAATGGGCCATTAATTTCAGGTAAAATGGGCCACCTTCTTAGGTGAGTTTAAGCAGAAATTCTGGTGGTTCCTCTTATTATTAATATATTTTATTGTGGTATTTGTGACACAACTTTTTCACATTTTACCTTCTAAATGTGTTTGTATGTTTTTATGTGTGCTCGTCTATGTTTGTAGTAAAGTTAAACTATTTATTACACGCAGCATGTCAAATAGAAAGGATCAGAGAGGAGAGAAGGGGGTCAAAGAGTACTTTATTATATATTATTTGAATTGTAGCTACTCTCTCACTCTCTCCCTATATACAGTGTATGTATATTATTTTTTATATTATTTAATTTAGGCATAATATTCTAGGCTACATCAAATAAAACAAAAATAAATTAAAATAAATAAGCGGGGTTCTGATTTAAAACTTGCAAAAGAAAAAAAGAGTTTGGTTCTTTCTTGCTTTACATTACTTTCAGATATATTACATAACTTTAGTACATTTAGAAATGCAATTTTAATTTAATTTAATTTGGGGAAACTACAAGACGATCGACGCTTCTTTACACCCGCTTTTTGTTCGACTGTGTCAGCTGACCATGACGTCATTACGTCGCCAAGAATGTGCGTCGAACACAGGAAGTTGATTTATCAGCTGATCCTTCTGGCTGTTGTTGATGCCTGAAGTTGCTGTTGTTTGGACACTGTGTCGCTCTTATCTGCTCCTGACATTGAAGACACATTAAACCCGAGACAGGGACACGGACACGGTGGGCATATACCTGCGGACGAGCTTATGAGTAACAAGGGAACCGTCTCACAGGGAGGACTTTAAATTCGCGCACTAGCGGCAGAAGAGCTAGCGCCAAAGCTTGAACCTTCGGTGAAGAGAAGAAAGAAAAGCAGTAAAGACAGCCGACGGCTTGGCTTGCTTTCTTTGTTTATGTCGTTCCAGTCTGAACCGTGATAATAATCTTCTTTGTCTTGAATTTAAAATTTGTTTTGCACATACGTTATTTATATTTATACTTTACACGGAGGGGGCAGCTAGCACGGCAGCTAACGTTAGCCCATAGCGCAAAGAAACAGTCTTGTTGTCAAGCTTTGATGCTTTCGTAACCGCCGACAGCTACAGGTAACGTTAGCTAACAGTGAGAATAGTCGGGTTTGGAGAAATAATTTTCGTACCTCTGTATTTTTGTAGGTGTTTGTCACTGGATCAGGTGCTCTGTTGGAGACACTGTAGCCGAGCAAGTTGATGCCCACTCGTTAAATTGAAGCCTGTTTGATACGTTTGTCGCTACTGAACAAGTTTGACATATCTGTTTGTTTATTCCTGACATTGAATCGAGGGAGTTCAGGTTTCTTGTTCTTTTTTTTATCCGCATCGATTTTAAACCACACAAACAAGCAATAGGTTGACTGACAGTTGGCCTTGTACGTTTTAGATTGGCTGGCAGGTTGCGTAATTTGTTTGCGTGCGAGCTGTCAGCCTTCGCTGGGTAACTTGTTAAACTGTTATTTAAACCATATGTATCTCTGTAAGCATTAGGTGGCGGTGTGTTTCATTTTGATCATTTAACACCTTTTATCATTCTTCTTTAGGGCCGTTTTAATGTCAAGAACATATGACATGTGATAAAGTGCCCACGGTTTACTGTAACCCCTCAGATAGCTGTTTGATGACCACACTCATGAATTTGGTAGCTTTGGAAGTAGATAGAGTTATGAATTAAAGTGGCCATCTGAAACTATTGTGAGACAGAGCTTGATCAGGGAGAGACAGGCGAAGAGAAAGGGTCCCTCAGAGGGTCCCATTGTGTCTTGAGGTGAGGTGAGCTGCCCCCCACTACTTGCCAATGCTGGATCTGGAGGTGGTGCCTGAGAGATCACTAGGAAATGAGCAATGGGAATTCGCCTTAGGTGGGTTTTACAACAACTTTTCTCAGATATAAAAACATAACACACAGCTGGAGAAAGAAACCATTTATTAATATTTGAAGCCACATTTAAAATGATTATCCTTGCATGTTACTGTTAATGTCTAAGGCCCTAAGAAATACTGTTGCTTCTCTTCATTTGTGTGTGTGTGCTTGCATGCCTTGGTTTTCAGGGATGCCATTGGCCCAGGCCATCTCTATTCTGCAGAAACACTGCCGCATCATCAAAAATGTCCAGGTGCTATACAGTGAACAGGTATGATGGCCAGATGTCTTTAATAAGTACCCCTCTCTCTCTCAGAAATAGTGTTGCCATTACATCGAGAGAGCACTGACTGGTTTATTTTTCAGACAAAGTATATGTAAAAAAAAATAATTGTAGGCTAATAATATTGTTATTTGATTTTTTTTTTAATGACTCAAATATCAGCCAAAAATATCCATTCTCAGTCAGGCTATATTTAAGTTCTTTCCCCAGGTTCAATAGCTATAAATAACACCTGTAAGGGAGATTGTTTTTAAAACACAATGAGTGTTAGATAACAGATTCATTCAAGAGTAACTGGAAGCAGTCATTTTAACATGGAAGCAGTCATTTTAACATGAATAAAACTATCACAAGAAAACACAAAATTTTCTCTCCTTTAAAATGTATGTACAGTCATAGTCTTTGTGCGTGCCGGGTTTCCCTTAAGTTCAAAAACAGCTGATTCTGATTGTTTGTTTATCTGCCTATCTGCTGACGGGGGCACGCCCCCCAGCCTCTCTCTTAATTAACTTGGTTTATCTTCCCTACAGACGCCACTCAGCCATGACCTCATACTGAACTTGACTCAGGATGGGATAAAACTGCTGTTTGATGCCACAAATCAGAGACTAAAGGTGAACATTGTAACTGCTGGTGATGCAAAAGAAAAATTGTCAGAGAGAACCAGTGGTGTGTTGGCACTGAGAGTCAAGCTCAGGGTAGTATATATATTTAAACTGGTATTTTAACAGAGATTGAATTTACCTTGGAGTTGAAAACCAGATATTAACAAGAGAGGGCTGTGACATTTCTCCGCAGATATTTATCAGCAGCAGATTGCAAGATTTCTAGATGATTGACAAAGATATTTAGACTCGGCCTTGTTAATGACATTCAGCTTACCATTGGTTTTACAGCCTAACTTTGTTCATCTTTCTGTGTGACAGGTGATTGAAGTGTATGACCTGAGCAAAGTCAAGCTGAAATACTGGTGAGTAGGTCAAAGGCATTTACAGACTTACTGAATAACAACGGATGTGGCAAATATGAAAACCATCTTAGACTGTCAGTTGTTATATGGTCTTTATACATGTGGTCTCCAGGCACATATCTATATAATGGTCATTGTATGTATACGCTGCCCATATTGTGTTGCCACAGACACCGTTTTCAACTCAGTCATAGCTCCTCACAGATAGGCAGCTACTTGTTGGATGACACGACAGTAATGGAGTCCATCTGTGTTAATGTGTTTGTTTAACTTATTTTAGTGCAGTGCATTTCACTTCTCTGGTAATAGCTCTTCAACTAATGCAGCATAACCTTTATGACTGTTAATAGACGTAACACTGGCTGTGTGTGTGTGTTGTGTTTTAGTGGAGTCCATTTCAACTCTCAGGCCATTGCCCCCACAATAGAGCAAATAGACCAGTCATTTGGAGCTACGCACCCTGGAGGTACTTTATAAAGACACACTCACAAATAAACCTACATTTTAATTGTACTTATCTCATCTGTGAATTATTTTCCTCCTCGCCCGTCTCCGTCCAGTTTACAATGCTGCAGAGCAGCTGTTCCATCTCAACTTTCGAGGCCTGTCCTTCTCCTTCCAACTGGACTCATGGAATGAAGCTCCAAAATACGAGGTGAGAATGTTTCAATCGATTTGCTTGTCAGCCATTTAAAGAAGTGCTGAGTGGTCGTTTCTTCACATTCACACAGGGCAGCCTTGTGATTGAAGTGTTTACTCTTCATATGGGCAGTCTGAGGTCAAGCACTTGTAGGCTTTGTGCATGTTCCTGAATGCCTGTCAGCTTGACGTTGTTATGTTGTGATAAATAATGTGGGACTTAATAAAGAAACCACATGCATGTTGAGAATGTGATTGTCTTGCTGCTTGTTTAGTCATGGGCATAAAATAATTTTTTCAGGGCCCGACCAATACTGGGTTTTTGAGGCCGATGCTGATATTAGGGAGTAAAAAATTCAATATTGGCCGATATTCTGGAAAACGCTTAAAGTGATCATGGTTGCAGTGATCGACCGCTTATATGGATCAAAAAGCTTCAGACAGAATTATCCCTATTCAAATGCTGTTTGCTGTGGGTCAGGATGTAGAGAGGCCGTCCAGTAATCACATGGTCAGTGGTTCTGTCCTCGGCTCCTCCGGCCTGCAAGTGTCCTTGGGTAAGATACTGAACCACAAATTGCTGCTGAAGGCTACGTGAATAGGGAGAATGTGACATGTAGTTTAAAGCGTTTTGAATAGTTGGAAGATCAGAAAGGCGCTATGTAAGAACAGACCATTTACCATTTAAACATTTTGCTTCTACTAATCAAGTAGTCCACTTACAGTGTTCAGTCTAGATCTTTTCGTACATTACAACATATGGAAAAAAATCTGAATATTTTATGAATATGTTTGTTTTTAAACTCTGCAACCAGTTGGGCATTGATAGCTTACAGTTTATTTTCAGGCCTGTTTAAAATGTAGAAATGCACTGATACCAGCGCCAGGCTGTAGCTTAGTAGCCTGTTTGAACTACTGATGTTACTGTATTTGTAAACAGCACAATCCTGTTTTAGGCTATAGCCTAATTATAATTTGAACTACAGTAATTAATATTATGCAGTACTTTTTATTAGAGCATAGTGTACTTCAGTTATACCTAGTACAGTAATTTATTTGTACATTAAGTTTGAAAAATCTGTACTGTTCTTTGAAACCGTCAAAACTGTACATCTCATTACTTTATATTCATGTAATAAATATACAAATAGATTGGGATCTGCATGAGAAATAAAGAAAAAAATATATAATAATAATATTAGACATCCGCTTATAGTGATCAATTTGACCCAGACAGATGCGATCCCTGTAGAATTTCCTTACAAGATGCACAGATTTTCCACACACACACACAAAAAACAAAACAAAACAAAATCGGAGTTGGAGCTTGCTCTGTTGGGAAAAACTACAGTATGTGACCATTTCTAAATTACCCCAAGCATCTTTTTATGCACGGTGTTCTGTAAAGTTTTCATATATTGTTCAACATATAGGCCGACACCAACATACACTGAACAAAATTATAAATGCAACACTTGTTTTTCTACACATTCTTCATGAGCTGAACTAAAAGATCTCAGACTTTCTCTATGTATGTATACACCTGTGCAATTCCCATGCTGTCTGATCAGCATCTTGATATGACACACCTGTGAGGTGGATGGATTATCTCGGTATTGGAGAAGTGCTCACTGACAGATTTTGACAGAGTTGTGAACAATATTTGAGACAAATATGCCTTTTGTGTACATAGAGAAAGTCTTAGATCTTTGAGTTCAGTTCATGATGAATGGGGGCAAAAACAAAAGTGTTGCGTTTATAGTTTTGTTCAGTATATATGGGATAGGCCAGTATTGTCTGACTGATAAATCTGATAGATCTCAAAAAGCACCTAGTGTGAATTTATACCTTTTGAGATGTCAAAAAATAATTGCAGTGTTATGTAGGCAGTAAAAATCTGACTGCAGTATTAAGTTGAGGGACTTTGGGTAGCTCAGGCACCGTGATTTCATAATTAAATTCTCCAAGACAATGCAGACACCCAGCAGCTCATGACAATAAGATGTAGTCAAATGTTCACACAATCTGCAAGCTGCCTGTTTATACTTTATGAATATGTAAAACACTTGACTAGGTTTCTCCGTACTGGACAGCTGTTGATAATTTACTATCTGTGCTGAACAGCTGTGGATGTTTTACTGTCTGTACTGGACAGCTGCTGTGGGTGTCTTTCTGTCTGTGCTGGACAGCTGTGGATGCTTTACTCTCTCTGTACTGGACAGCTGTGGATGCTTTACTCTCTCTGTACTGGACAGCTGTGGATGTTTTTCTGTCTGTGCTGGACAGCTGTGGATGCTTTACTCTCTCTGTACTGGACAGCTGTGGATGTTTTTCTGTCTGTGCTGGACAGCTGTGGATGCTTTACTCTCTCTGTACTGGACAGCTGTGGATGTTTTTCTGTCTGTACTGGACAGCTGTGGATGCTTTACTCTCTCTGTACTGGACAGCTGTGGATGTTTTTCTGTCTGTGCTGGACAGCTGTGGATGCTTTACTCTCTCTGTACTGGACAGCTGTGGATGTTTTTCTGTCTGTGCTGGACAGCTGTGGATGCTTTACTCTCTCTGTACTGGACAGCTGTGGATGCATGTCATGAACCAGCTGCTCTGCTTTCTGCTCTACTCTGCAGCTTGCTACTGTGAAAGCTCACCTCATGTAGTGATGTTTTTAATGCCCCATCAGCTGACTTCATATCCAATTGACAAAGTTTTTGGAGCTTATCACATCTTTCTTGTATATCCCTTTGGCTGTTCCAACATTTCTGTGTCAGTGATATGATAGTCACTGCATTGATTATTTCTTAAACCCTCCAGTCCGCCCTGATTTACATGTTGAGTTGCTTAAATGGTTTTGTTTGATTTACTGAAACAACAGCTTGTGCTCGCTTGTGATCTCTAGAAGTGTGCAGGTACAAGTGTGGTAGTTTCAGCTTCTAGTTTGAGTTTTAATATTTGCATTTCTTTTTCTAAAGCTCAGAACTCTGCTGCAGTTTGTTTCCTGTTTGTCACGAGTGTGTAAAATGGCAGATGGATACGTCTGAGATTGTTTGAGATTGAGTGTTTTTAGATAAAATGTATACAGTGCACTTAGAATAAATAAGTTTCAGTAAATGGTTTATGTATATATATACCCCAGTATGACAAAAGGAAAAATCCTGTTGACGTCGTAATCACAACATTGTAACATACAATCTCTTAAATGGTGGTTGTTGTTTTTAGGAAAATAGTTTGGACCAAAATCAAGCACAGTTCCCTTTCCATAGAATTTAATTAATGCTGAAAATGTCAATGCTAAATGTCTTGAAAGTTTCCTCAAGGGAATTAATCCATATAATGCTAATGCTACATGTGTTTTATAAATTTCTTAAAACCTACAAGCTTTTGTTTCAATTTAGTCAGAATGACTCATCTTCAGCTATTTTGCATCTCTGCTGCCTGGTGGTGTTGAATGCAACATGGAAATACACAAAAAAAGCAGCACAGGAAAAAAAGATCTTATCAGAGTCACAGTGAATTGTTACTGAATAGTGGACCTCTCTAAGATTAAAAGTTGCTACCTGACAGAGATGCAAATAGGATTAAAATGTAGCGTCATTAATCAATGGAAAAATGTTTTCCCTGTCACACAGTCAGTGTGCTATGACACGTTTCCTTCACAGTGCTTCATCATAAATCTAGAAATAATCTTTCTGTACTTGGGGGGGGGGGGGATGTATACCTGTACTACTCCCAGTTGTTTTGCCTTGACAGCCTAACTTTGCCATGGGTTTGGCCTCCCTGCAGATTCCACACGGGGCCATGGTCAAGAGGATGCACATCTACACTGGCAACAACCTGCAAGAAACAAGGTGACATGCACACACATGCAGATACACACAAACTAAACATCAAACTAGACACATTTATTTAGTGATTGTTGGTCAGTAAGCACAGTTAGAATCATAATGCTCCCATTTGGCCAAAGGAAACAACATTGCTAGAGATCCTTTTTTCACATAATTATTAATTAATTCACTGTGACAAACTAAATGGAGAACAAAGACAATAACAACAACAACAACAACAACAAAACGCTGTAAGAAAAAACTGCTCTCTCTGTCCTCAGAGCTCCGGCGATGCCTTTGGCTTGTTTCCTCGGTAACATCTATGCAGAGTGTGTGGATGTCCTGAGAGACCAGGCAGGACCTCTGGGGCTCAAACTCCACCTTCTCACTGCAGGTAACACATGTCTCGGCGTCTCTGTGTATGTCTCAAGGACTGCAAACTAAGATTTTTATGTTTTCCTCATATCTACATTTTGATTCACTGAATGATTTTTTTTCTCAGACCTCCAGACAGCTGATAGCTTAACATTTTTTGATTGGCAATAATACAATTTTAAACACTTTGTAATCAGCAATATTGATCGCACTAAATTTATCTGTCTCCACTGCAGACTTAATTATGTAACTCCAACATGGACTAACAGATTTAGCTGCAGGTACCTGTCTGGACTGTGCATATCTAGCTGTCTGTTAAAGGCTTTTGTCCAACAATCCACATTCACAGTCATTTTTCTGGAGATCAATTTCCTTTCCTGTTTTATTGGTGAGTGCAGGTTGTGGCCCAGGTGTGATGGCTGATGCTAAAGTAAGGTCCCTAGAAAGGAGCATCTACTTTGGTGATTCCTGTCAGGATGTACTGGGTGCTCTGGGCTCGCCACATAAAGTCTTCTACAAATCTGAGGACAAGGTAGGAAAGCTTTGTTCCTTTCAGTGTTTACTTGTTAGAACTACTTGAATTCTCTTCACTAAGCTCTGCTGGACCTATCCTGATCTACATACTATCCTCATCATCCTCATCATCCCCGGGAGCGTAATAGTTTCTTTTGAGCCAAACTAATTAAGTCTATTCTCTACAAACATGCCACATTTTGCATGCTGGGTATCAACCTTTTACTCACATGAGCGCTCAGTAGTTGAGTTCCACCTTTTGAATGTGGATCACAAGAAAGTGGGATGTACAGTAATATATATTTATGCCAAATTGTGTGAGAACAGATGAATCATAAAAAGGCAATTTAATGACACTGACAGTTTTACAAATGTCTTAAACTAATTAATGTTCTTTATATTTATGGTCGATTAAGTGTTTTTGTGTAAACTAAAAGTGGTCCACCATGAAAAACCAGAAGGGCATTATCACACAACAACCTTTTTATTGTCCTTAAGCTCGTTGTTTTAGTTTTCCAAACCCACATTAACTTTTTGGTTCACTTTCACCACTTTCCTCAAAACCTTTTCTAGCAGCAACAGGTAGAAAAACTCTATTGAACCCACTGTTCACCCGAACAGCACCAGCAGGCAGATTAATTAACTACTTAGTTAAGAAAGTTCAGTATTTAACAGATAAAAAGCTAAATTTATTATCCGGAGTTAGTTGACTGTGTGAATATTTAACTTAATTCATTTTATTTATTTATTTGTTTATTTGTCAGGGACAATGCAAAAGAGACACAGGTTACAGTAACAAAAACAGATTTGTTGCATGTAAGGTTTGTAGCTGAAGCTAATTTGCAACGCCTGTCCTTGGTTAGGCTACATACATCACCATTACCAAGAAAACAGAAACAAACAACCAAAAACATACCAGTCAGGAAAATAAAACAAAATAAAGTGTGTGTGTGTGTGTGAGAGAGAGATCACAGATTTGGTTGTGTTTCACCTTTTCATTAAATGTTTTCAGATTGGTTTGTGTTTGTATTTCTGTTGGTAGGGCATTCCAAAAATGTATCCCTTTTACAGAGAAGGATGACTAACAGAAAGTGGTTTTGCGCTGGTGCCACCTTGTAGTTGCCATTTGCTGATCCCCTAGTGGCGATTCTATTAGTTTTTGTTTTTGTCACATGTGGACAAAGTACCGCTGGAGTGAGATTATTCAAATATTTAAAAATCAATTTGATAAAAGAGAACTTAATAAAACTATCATAACTAAGCAAATTGTACTTTTTCAGTGTTATACAGTGATGCCATTTCATTTGTTTTTGATCCATTATTTTCAGTGCTTGTTTATATATGTCTGTGAAGATTCTCAGTCATCCAGGTCATAGTTATCCAAAGAAGGTTAAAGTCAAGGGCAACTGGACATACTAGAAGACGTTTCGTCCCTCATCCAAAGGACTTCTTCAGTTCTGAATGACTGGTAGGGAAACTAAGCTATTTAACCTCAGTGGGGTCGTTTGCCAGGATCGTCGATACCGCTGTTTGTTAGTGTTCCTGGCTGTTGTAACAGTCGTTACAGTCGTTAGGACTAGCTGAGGCCAAGACAGAACAACCATCATTGGCATCTTCACCTGAGGCCAATAGATTACGTTTGTTGAGTTTCCTGGGAAATGATAAAAGGACAGCATTGTAAGTGGTGGCGTAGACCCCCTCCTCTGTTCAGCCACGGCTTCTCAACCCAGGTGTAGATGGCTTCCTTGACACCTCTTTCAAATCATCCATCTTCTCTGTCTAAAATGTGCACCTGGTGGTCCCCAAACGAGTGTCCTCTGTAAGTAAGAAAGTAAACTGCTGAGTCTTGACCTGAGGAGTTGGCCCTTCTATGTTGAGCCATGCGTTTGTGTAGTGGTTGTTTAGTCTACCCAATATACAGGTCTGTGCATTCCTCACTGCATTGGACCACATACACTAGATTGCTTTTCTTGTGCTTGGGGGTGCAGTCTTTGGGGTGTACCATTATCTGTCTTAGCGTGTTCTTGGGTTTAAAAAACACAGAGATGTTCTGTTTGTTGAAAATCCTACTGAGAAGCCGTCGCTGAACAGGGGAGGGGGGTCTACGCCACCACTTACAATGCGGTCCTTTCATCACTTCCCAGGAAACTCAACAAACGTAATCTATTGGCCTCAGGTGAAGATGCCAACGACGGTCGTTCAGTCTTGGCGATGAGGGACGAAACGTCTTCTAGTATCTTCAACCGAGTCCAGTTGCCCTTGACTTTTAACCTTGTTTGGATAACATGTTTATATAGTGATATAATGGGTTGAACAGTTGACTGTGAAGCCTGGCTCCATACAGTAACACAATAAGAACGATGGGAGAATATCATGGCATGCATGAACAGTTGAGCTGCCTTGAGGGGTATGTAATGTCTAATCATTCTAAAAAAGTTCAAATTAGTCTTTACAGTTTTGCATAGCTTTTTAACATGTTTATCAAATTTAAGTTCAGGGTCCAAAATGACCCCTAAGAATTTAAAATCATTGACTTCCTCTATTTCCTCGTGATTTATTCTAATTACAAGCTTTTCTTTTGCTTTCCTTCTCATGGAAAAACACATTGATACAGTCTTTTTTAGATTCAGAGTTAAGTGATTGTTTTTAAGCCATAGAGGTACTCCCTCCATTTCGCTTGTTAAAATCTCTGCTGCTACACAAGGGGTTTTGGCTGTTACATAGATAATTGTGTCATCAGCATACATCTGACATCCAGCTTTTTTATAACATGATGGTAAGTCGTTTATGTATAGGCTGAAGAGCAGAGGCCCCATTGTGGAATTCCCATTGGTTTATCAGATGTGTTATTGGTTTAATCAGAGTGGAGCTGTGTGTTTTTAATAACAAACAATAATTTGATTTTAGCAACTTTCTCTTGGTCAACTTCCTTAATATGAAAGCACTTCAAAGAGTCTGTTATATTTGCCTGTGATAGTTTTACTGCTTCAAATTTTTGAGCAAGCTCCTCCACTGGTTGAATGAAATCATAATTAAATTAATTAGCGATTTCTGTACTGTCAGTGCTAATCACATTTACTTCCAGCTCCGTTATTCATTTTCGTTGGCTGGGCTTTAGTTTAGTAAGACTGTTAAGATGTTTCCAAAGAGAAGTACTATTTCCTTCAGATTCTGCTATCATTTGTGTAAAGTATGTAGTTTTTGCCATGCACAGTTCCCTAACAACCCTTAATCCCTTAAAAATAAGGAGGTCCGTAATTGATTTACTGGACAGTGAATTTTTTAATGCAAGATCTCTTATTTTCATTAACTTGTGGATATCATTATTCAGGCAGGGTAAAGAGCCTCTTCTTGGTGTGCACTTAACAATTTGTGTATATTATAAGTCCTGTGTGTGTTTTCATGATAATATTATAACTATAACTATCTATGTCCGTAGTTTGTAAAACGTCATTCCAATCAGTATTATTTAATTCATCATCAAATTGTTGCTTTTTGGGAATAACTACATTCCCTAGTTTAGGCCTACGTTCATTCATAAACACTGTTAGATGCTGTTTTGTTAGTTTTCTCACAATCAAGGTCATATTATGGTCAGAGAGGTCCTTTATTAAGTTGTACGTCCTTGTAATACTTTCAGGTCTATTTGTCATTATCAAATCAATCATGGTTTCACTTGTTTGAGTGATTCTAGTTGGAACTTTTACCATCTGCTGAAAATTATGTTTTGACATTATCATTTTCAGCTTTTGTTTGCCATGTTTATCTAACCAATTTATATTAAAATCTCCAAAAAAGAGACCTTGAAAACGTCAATTTAACAGTTTAAACAATTCATCTAAATCACGATAAAATGAAACATGATGTGATGGTGGATTGTACAGGATTACAATATTAAAATTCATCTTTGGGGACAGTGCTATATTTAAGGCTAAACATTCCAAAGATGTGTCCAGTTTGATTTCCTTGCATTTAAGAATATCTCTGACACAGGGCTGGACTGGTAATCTGGCATCCCGGGCAAATGCCCGGTCGGCCGACGCACCTTTGGGGCCGATGTAACGTAAATTATGTATTTATATAACGACCTTATATAGGATAAAGCATGGACAATGGCCCATTGGGTAATTTTCTATACTGACACTGGGCTGGCCCAATCACATCTCTTATTAACCCCCACCCCCTCTGCTCTCTGTGTCAAGGAGGAAGGGTCATTTACACTGGAGGACATGTAGCCACCACTTTCTGAAAGCATTTGTTAAAAATATTCTTAAAAATAGCTTGCACCAAGAAATGTTAACAAATAAAAATGCTATAAAAAGGTTTATTTGCAGAATAAGCCTGCAATGCAATGTAAACTCAGTGTTGTCTAAAAAAAGTAACTTAAACTAAAAACAATAATAAGCCACTGATTACTGCATTCTATTATATTTTTATATTCTGAATTGTCACCTGGTGCCTGAATTTTGTGCTTCCCTGGTGCAGAAAATGTCTCCAGAATACAGGAAATTAAATGTTTCATGGTCAAAATCTTCTGGGGAAGGATCCCCAGACCTCCCTACCTGCTTGTTTCACCTCGTGATAGAGTAGATTACAAGGGATCCATGTCCAAAGAAATTCCATTTTGGCATTTCGTTTGAGAAAGCAGTGTAGTCTGTTACTTTTTGTGTTTGTTTTTCCATTTTGTCCACATTAAAGCATTGTCCGAGTGGCACCAGCAGAAGCCAAAAGCAGAGCAGCAGTGTGCAAACATTTCCATTATCCTTATGGTTATTGTTGACTTTACTTCTCTGTTTTAAACTTGTCTTTGCAATGGTAAATATCTGTTTAAAACCGAGGGTCAAGACAGCGAGTAGTGGCAGATGGGGATAAAATAAACTGGTAAGAATGGAGCCTAACAAACCACCCCTACCCTCAGCTGCCCCAGCTGCCATTCTTCCTTCCTAAGAGGTAAGACATATGTTATCATTTATCCTATTATGTGTTCTTGTTTATTTTAGATGAAGATCCACTCTCCATCACCTCACAAGCAGGTTCCTTCTAAATGTAACGACTACTTCTTCAACTACTTCACCCTTGGAGTGGTACGTAAACACGGCCTAGGCTTGCTTGTGTGTATACATTTCTGTACTTTTATGATTGTGTTTTTAATGTAAGGTGAATTCATTCAGTTCATTTTTAAAGAGGCTTCATTCACTTTGTGTTAAGTTATTGTACTATTGAACATGTTTGATGTACTGTAGAATTACAAATATATTTTGGACACCCAGCTTATTTACGGTAATGGACTTTTTGGGGAGAAAAGATGGCAAACACAGTTGTGGTAAAGTATAGAATTGTTTGATGGCCGTATTTTTTGCAGGACTGTTGGATTGCATTACAGTGTACATGAGTTTCTGTATTTCTGGTCACTTAGTATGAAGTCTGTTTTCTGTCATATCACACAGAAATATGATTTCAGTTGGTGGTTTCTTTTTTTCCCTTTTTTCTGGGATCAAATCTTTGTATTATATGGATCTTTTGATCAGCTGTTGTTCAGATTAGAGCTTGATATGAGCTAATAGAAGTTAAATTGGTATTGTATTTAAAGCAGCCGATAAATGACAATTAAAAAAAGAAATGGATCTTCATGTTATGAGTGTTGTTGTTGCATAATTTGTTCACCAGAGGGAACTCTGCAACTCCCCTGTTGGCAACACGTGTTTGGAAAGCCACAAATTCACCACAAAACACAGCAATTAGCTGTACTTGGGTTCTATTTATCATTTATAACAGTAAAGAAAGTTTATTTTTAAAATGTATTATGTTGTGTTCTCTTGCTGAGATCTCATGCGGCATTCAGACCACCCGCGACTTTTGGCCTTGCGACGCTTTCCTCGCGTGAGTACATTCGCTGCAAGTGTTCACACACAACGCGAGAAGGCGATTTTAGCACGATAACATGAATAAGCACAACTCACCATTACTACAACTGTATGAACCCAAAGTAAAACTGTTGCTGTGATTAAATAGCAATAAACGGATTACACTGATGCCGAAATAACTACAACATGATGCAGATTTGTTAAACATATGAACTCGTGCTTTGTCAGGTCTATCAGCAAGACAGCAGGACAACCACTTCTAAAATGTTTGTTTTCTGAATGGAGTTTGGATCGATCAGGGCTTTTCTATGCTAACTTGGTCACGGTAAAGTACAATGAAGCTGGAATAAAGTTACAGACACATGTTTTCTGAACTCACCAGGTAGTTCAACCTCCTCGCTTTCTTTTCTCCAAGCAATGTCCAGTTTTTTCCGTTTTTTATATAAATATGAAGTCGTAGTCCGACAGAGCTAACGACGCTAACAACAACACTGGAACCGGATGTGCACGGAAGCTAGCTGCTGAGAAGCTCCAGTGAAGATAAATCAATGTTGAAATCCCAAAAACTAAAGTAAAAAGCTAATTTAATAAAAGCAGTTTACTCCGAGCTCCTCCCGCGAGTAAACAACGTAGTTTTAGAGCATAATCCAGTCCAACTATGGGTGTTTATTTGTCCAGTGGTTGCAGTGCTGCTCCCTGCTCCTCTCCCCCAAGTTTAGCAGCTCTCAGCCGGCCAGCAGATTTTCAATCTCCCGCTCTGCCTGGCCCTCTCCACACAACGCTCTGAAGCCATCAGTGACGTACGGACAATCTCAACACTGATAGGCTATCCCGACTCAGCGTCATGCAACTTCGCTTGAGTTAAAAATATTTAACTCATGCGAATCCCTTCGCGTCGCCGGCCCTGCCGCCTTTCCGTAGCTTCGCACCACCCGACTCTACGGCTCTACGCGTCTTTGCAGATTGTCAGTTCAACAAAGATTGTCGGCAGATATATCTGATTTTAAAATCTTCAAATATCAAAATTGGTATCGGCCATAAAAATCCCATATTAATCGAGCTCTAGTTCAGATCTGAAAATAAGCTTGAGCTCCTCTGCATCTGCTCAGTGACCAGCTGGTAATGATGAATGGTAATGATGAATGGCTGTGGGGGTGTAGTTCTGCCTCTATCTGCATTTGCTCGCCCCGCTGTTTGCAGTAGATAGGAATGCAGTGCGTTGTTCTGGCCAAATACAAAAGCAATGTTGAAGATTGTTTTGTAATGTTTCAGGATATCCTGTTTGACTCTACAACTCACCTGGTTAAGAAGTTTGTCCTGCATACCAACTACCCCGGACATTACAACTTCAATATGTAAATATCTTGCTGTGCCAGTTTTTCTCCACCTTTCTGTCGCTCTCTATCATAATTAACTACATCCGCGGCTGATATTATGTTATCAAGTTGGCGCTTATTTCTCTTCATTTTCTGTGCTTTTGATTATGTTTCCCCTCTCATCACAGATATCATCGATGTGACTTTAAGATTCCACTAGTCATTAAGAAAGGTGAGGCAGTTTTCAGTGATATCTCGGTGTAAATGGTATAATGCTGATTTTTAATCTGCCTTTCATCTAATGTCTGTTTCTCTGGGGGGGGTTATGTCCCTGCACTCTAGAAGGAGCTGATTCTCAGACGGAGGACTGCATCTTAACCACCTACAACAAGGTCAGTCACAGACAGAATTTATACAGCTGTTACATTTCGCCCGAGGTCAGTGCTTTGTTGTAAATTCATATGGTTGCACTTTGGTAATGATCTGACATGTTCTCTTGGCCTGATGTTTAGCTTTCTAATTTAGGCATCTCTGGCGTCACTACTTCTAAAACCTGGTCTGTGCATAGTTAAACCCTTAGTTTCATGTGTTTTCACAGCGGCCTGTCTGAATTTATATTGCCATTTCAAACAGCAGTACTATCACCAGGAAGCTAATACAACCACAGTTCTGTTGTTAATCCCCTAATCAAGCTTTCTATATAGGTCTCATGACCTTGCGATTCAAAACAGTGTTGGCAGTGGATCAACAAGCCTTTTTATTAACATTTTGTTTCTCTGTCAGTGGGATCAGATTCAAGAACTGCTGGGTCACCCAATGGAAAAACCTGTAGTGCTCCACAGGTACTTACACATGCTCTTGCGTAGACACAGCCACTATTGATCACTTTGTTACATTGTCCCACAGACATCAAAGATCATTTGTGAGAATATTTTAATGTTGTTTCAAGCTGCGAGATTCTATTGCAAACTTGACATTTTGGACATTATCCAAATGAGTGTCCTCTCTGACATGATCAGATGTTTGTGTTTGACAGGTCCTCATCAGCCAATAACACCAACCCCTTTGGCTCCACCTTCTGCTTTGGACTGCAGAGGATGATCTTTGAGGTCAGAACATTTATCTCTGGAGCTTTAGCTAGCATTACAGTGTGTACAGGATGAAGATAAGTATAGTTTACTTGCAGTGCATTGGCTGAGTGAAAGGCTCATGTAAGACCTCTCTATAACCACTCTCCAAAGTCACAGTGTTTATTATTATTATTATTATTATTATATTATTATGTCTCATTCATTAAATGGAAATTCTGTGGCGACAGCAGTGTAAACTCACAGGTTACAAGTGGACCAGAATTTGACCTAAAACTAGTTTGTAAAAGTAATGGAAAGTGTCCCTTTCTCAAAATTATTTTCCTTGTCATTGTGCAGAGGGTAAAAAAGCGTATTTTACTGCATAAATAAATATTACTACTACAGATTCAACCCAGAGTAAAATTAAGGATATGATCTAAACTTAATTCTGTCTGAATGGAGGATCTGGCTGCTTTGCCTCAGTTTGCTTGAAATGGCATTTTTGAAACCTTGAGAATGGACATTTTGTTTGAACACAGTATCTGAATTGTTCAAACCCCTGCGTCTGTATGTGATCTGTTTCCCTCTTCCTCAGGTGATGCAGAATAACCACATAGCATCAGTGACCCTCTATGGTGCTCCGAGGACCGCCAGTCAAGCCCGACCTGAGTCCAGTAGTAGCTCCCACTGAACAAGTAACCAGAACCACATCCCATTCTGGCCTGTCCTGAATCTAGTACCTCTTCTGACTGAACCTCTAACCCAGAGCCAGATTCTAACCAAGCAGACCTAATCCAGAACAGCAAAGTTCTTCTTGCCCAGCTCAGATACTATTCAGTGAACAAAAACACCACTAGAACCAAGAATAACCAAAACAAACTTTTCCTTGCGGGTCCTAAGACTTACTATTCCAATTAGACACACCCAGTCACACAGTCAACCTGACCCAGACCATCCCTGGACCCAGTATCTAGCAGCATGGTCGCAGTGCTGGAGCACTGATGCTTTGAAATGAAACTAGTGAAATTATTTCTTGGTTATGTGGGAATCTCGCGGTGGTGCTGCAAACTGATGGTGAAGAAATCTGTGCTCTGGTAGAGCTCAGCTGTTTCCTGTTTCCGTCCAGTGACTGCATTTGCCCAGGACCACAGAAGAAGAGTTTGTCCATACTTTAGATTGGATGGCATGGTTCCACCAGTAAGATGTAGTGGCAGCCTGTATATGACAATAACCTCCATAGCATTGTGGTGGTGAGATGATCAGCAATCAAATATTATCTGCAACATATCGCTAAGTGTTTTACATCAAACATGTAGTTGTGGAGTTAAAATGGCCGCCAGTGAAAACCGCTGTGGCTAAAGCCTTGAAACAAACTCTGGCTTGACCCACTGAATACACACCTACCAACCACACTGCCAGCCCAACCAGTACCGTCAGTCTTCCTGCCGCAACTTCAGAACCAGACCCCGCTGGCTCAGTCAGCACCCGGGCACGTCTAAACCGCAAGAACCAAAACCAACCCAACCAAGAGCCATCCGAGCCAAACACATTTGAAGCTGCAGAGGACTGTAACCAAAAACAGCAAAACAGGAGAATCCAGATTTAGTCGTACAAGAGCAGAACACACCCAACAACACCCTGGTGGCCAGATATGAAACCTCTCAACGCAGAACGAGCCAAACATCCAACATCAGCTCCCTCTCCCACCTCCCCACTCACTCCCCCCACAAGCTTCTTCACAACACGCAAGCACACAGCAGTAAACACTCTGTTAACCCACGGTCGTTGGGGGTCTGGACATTGGCGACATCTGTCTCCTTGCTTACACACACACACAAACACCACACACGTATAAATGAGCATCTGCATGTGTTGGGCTGCTGATTCTTAAACTGACGTTTCAACAGATTTCAACAGTTTAATTCAAGCACACAAACACACACAGCATTTCAATCCCCTCACTACTATACTCACGTGCTTTTCTAATACATGAAAACTTGGCAATGTTTTTTGACTTATTACAAGCACAAACTGGCAACCTGTTTTGTTTATTTGATCCTGCATGTTGTGAGAGGCACGGGCTTGGCACACAGTCGTATTATTTTCCTCTGCCCAGCTTCATTCATTCACGCCATGACCGTTTTCATTGTGTTCTTTATTTCTTTTTTTTAAAGAAGCAGTTTTTACATTTGCACTAATACACACCTTTTTTTTTACTTGATTGGTTGATTGTGCCCTATCTTCAGAGATGGATTTGTGGAGACATTTGGAGAGATAGTTGTGTGTGTGTGTGTGTGTGTGTGTGTGTGTGTGTGTGTGTGTGTGTGTGTGTGTGTGTGTGTGTGTGTGTGTGTGTGTGTGTGTGTGTGTGTGTGTGTGTGTGTGTGTGTGTTGTTTTTATCCATACATTTGGACAGAGGACAGGTCCTCCCGTGGTGCGTCATGTCCCCTGTGTTCTACTCGTCTCCCTCTTTCTCCATCTCTACATCTGATTCCTTAATGCATTTGCAATTCATTCCTCAGCAGTGTCTGCATTTATTTCTTTGTTGAATTGCCAAATGCTACAGCCAAAGACGTTTCAGGATGAACTAATTTGATCTGCTGACATTGTCACTGTAATCTCTTGTCGAAACCTGTCCTGTAGAGAGAGTCATATTGGCAGACGTCTCCTTTCTCTTGCATCTTGTGTTTCAAATCTGCACGTCCAAGTCATTGCTGTGGTAAAGCCTCTAAATTCAGCTCCTTGTTTCTTTAACTGCTGACAGTAATTACACGAGCCGTGAATAGCTGACTTACGTGTTTTGAAACCAATCGGCACGTCTTTCATCTGGATGTCCTTACAGCCAAGGACACATTAAGAATAGCAACAACAAGTGTCATCCCTCTTGTCGTCTCTACTGTGATTACTATTGTCAGAGAGCTGTAATTTAAAGAATTACCATTATTTCTCAGTGGATTTAGTACATTTTAACCCATTTTGGAAATGGGGAAGAACATCTGTCATTCCTTCATCAAAACATTTTTTTGCATCTCCCTCCCAATGTATGAATTTTTAATATTTTTAATCATAAGCATTTCAATAAACTGTGTATTAATTTTAATACACATATTCTCTTTTATTGATCCTTGTTACAAATGCCATCAGTTTTACATTTTTTAACTTTTGCTGAATTTATGATTGTTTGTATCAACATGTGTCAATGCATCAGAGTTGAAGTCAGGGCCCGTATACATGACGTAATGTTGAAAGTGCTGACCGGAGAATTACGCGTAAAATGCCAAGTTGACAGCTTGTAGTTGGTTTGCATGGACTGGGTGATTGAGCAGTTTAAAGCGAGTTTTGAGTTTAAACTCGCTCCACTGTGGTATTTTATTATCGGTCTTCATTATTAAGATCTTGTACATGTTCTTTAACAACTCCAACTGACTAAACTGATTGATTTTCTGCCAACTGTACTAAGGACAGTTTTTCACTTAACAAAATGATACACACACACACACACACACACACACACACACACACACACACACACACACACACACACACACACACACACACACACACACACACACACACACACAGTACGTTTTGCCACAGATTTTCTGTGGTTTCTCGCTGTACGAATGACCAGGAGTAGAGCAGTTGAAGAAATGGATTTATATGATGTAAATCTAGTTAGTTAGCCAGTTCTGAGAAATAATTTGTATGTATTTGGGCCCTGATGCTTAGAGTTGATGTTGATGTACAAATGTTGTAAATAGTTGTGTCCTCTTATTTACATGTTCTTATTAGCTTGGTGCAGACACAGTGACTCACTCGGCACTAGCTAAGTATCTCAATATTTCCTCCTTGATTAAAAACTCAGGAGGAAGCATCTGCTCACAACTGACTCATTAACAAACACTGGAAGTGTTTCCCCCCCCCCTTTTTAAAAAAAAAAAACAAAACTCCAGACCACTCAGTATTGAAACTTTTTCTCGTGCAATGCGAAGGCTGCAAGTACACAGACATGTTTGGGTGTCAGTAGATAGCCCTGCTTCAGCTCTGCTTGAACTACTACTGCAGGATGAAACGGCATCAAATAAAAAGCTTAAGATGTTTAAGAGCGATGGCTGTCCAGCAGTGTCTGATAAAATTACAAATTACAAACTTTCCAGCTGGTCTATCCACATTTTGAGTTGAATAGGGAAACTGATGTAACATAACTGAAAGCTATATTCATACATTTTATTGCAACTTGCTTTTGTGCAAGTTGAAATTATAAAAAAGAAAACACAAAAATGTTGAACATTGTGCCTCATCTCCCACTAAGCCTGTCTCTGACTTCTATCTCTATCTCCTCTGTAAAAAGGAATCTACTTGTACATACGATTTGAGAATGCATTTGAACTGCATCATGTATGTAAGTATGTGTGTGTGTCACTGATCATTAACAACAAGCTAACATAGTATTATGGCAGTCTCCGTTGTTTTAGTTTTCCTGTTGCCTGCAGAGAATGGCAAGTTGGGTTTTTCACCATTTCAACATAATGTTTTGTACTTTGTTCTGTTTCTTTGATTTATGTGGTGTGTGTGTGTGTTTATAACTACACAAAACACCCTAAACAATGTGCAAATGTTCACAACCCTTAAAAGCTCATTATAGTTGCTGTGGAATACAAGATTTTAGCAATGCAAAAAAGAAAACAACCAAGCAATCTAGAAGATGGTATCTGGAAAAACTAGAATGCATGCTGACAGAGGGTTTTCATAAGGAAGACAATTCTTTGTCTTCCTCCACACTCTGCTGAATTTAAATACATTAGTCATTGCCCCAAAAGATGACTTGAGCTTTGCTCCATTGGAAGCACATGGTTCAAAGACGATGTGAAAAAAATGAAACGGCAGAGGCAGCGGCGAATGAAACAAATCCAAGATGCTTCTGTGGGAAAACGTAACTGCTAATTTATTTGGGTATACTGAGCCCAGAAGTATAAACACATTAGCTGTTGGCATGGGAATAAAAAAGATTCTAATTTAACCCAATTTTTGGTAAGCCCATCGCAGCACCACAGGTGGTCTGTGATGTGATGATGCATTGTTACAGAGAGACCCAGAGAGGAGCCATAGGGTTCTGAGTAGTTAATCTCACCCAAACTCAGGTGGACACAAAAATTTAAGATAGAAAAACATTAACATGTAATCCGGGGGTCTTTGTTGCTTTTACATTTTACCTCTTTTTAATTTTTTATTTAACTGAATGCAGGAATGAATGATTGTCATAACCAGATTGTTGTAATTTATGACGGACAGCTTCAGTTCAGTGTAATGATAATCTCATATGAACGCTTAGTATTGTCTGTTCTTGGTATCATATTCTGATGCCCATCTCGCCTCAGAATATCTTTTGTGGACATTTTGAGCCCATTTCTGGAAATGAGGCAGTTATACTTAATTGAAATGTGTGAGATTCATTGGAATGTGGCATTTATATTTTGAATACTATAACTTTGTGTATGAAGAAATAAGTAGATTTATTCAGCATGTCCACTGGGGGAAAAACAGGCAATAACAATACCATGTAGTGCAAAGAGAAGGATTAGGTTGACTGAAAGCTTTGCTCCAGCAAATTACTTTTGCCTATGTTTGATGATGCTTGTTGAGATGAGCTACGGCTGTGCAATCTCTAACAACTCCAATGCAACATTTGGACTTTTATGAAATCAAACGCTCTCTGTTCGTTGACATCAAAGTTCAATTTCTGTGTGTACAACCAGGATATGTAAAAACAATAAAATTGTGGATGTGAAAAAGGTTTGGAGGTTTTTATTTCTTTAGGCTACACAACCTTGAAACTTAGATTTCTATTGCAAATTTGACTTTTGACTTTGAGCTGAACATCAAAATCTGTTTTGTATTCAAGCCTGGCAGAATAATAATATTATTAGTAGTCGCAGACAGTTTTATACTGATACGGTAGGGAATCTTCCTCTAAATGTATTCTCTCGGTTTTCTTATTTGTTTTTTTAGTTGTTTTTTATATTTTGTTTTTACATCAGCTGATCTTTGGCTCACTGTTTTATTGATTTCTCCTAAAAATACCACCTTAAAAACATACAAAGACTCCAGCTTGGAGCTTATTTGTCCATAATGTCTGTCTGTCCAACATGTATGTAAATGTAAGCAATGTGACATGCATACAGTAATCACATCAGTTAATTCTGTATGTCAGGAGACCTCATTTATATAAAAGAAGTGTTCAGTGCCCCAAACTGAAACACTCAGTTGCACACACTGACCAACAATATTGTGCATTTACACCATAGAGTGTGCGTGCATTCAGGCTTAAAGTGCAGCATCTCATTTTCATAACTGAAGCAATTCAGATGCCATGCAATAAAGAACTTTGGATGATGCTGATGATGATGTGAACCCAATCTTGTAGCCACAGCTGAGGCATCGTTTGTTAAATTCTGTGACTATAATGTATTTACTCTTTTTGGACATGGACCGTGAACCTGATTTACTGGCTAAAGTGATGTTGTCCAATCATTCTTTTTTTTGTGAGGTTATATTGTTATTATCATGTTGTTGTGTGTGTTATTGTATTTTTTGCCTGTATTGTGAACAATTTTTAAATGTTAAAACATGATATTGACTAATCTTCTTGCCCATCAGGCTTCTGTAAGCGTTTTTGGCAGGAAGTGATGAATGAAGAAGGGAAACATTCAGTTCCTTTTCAGATGCTGTGAAGGTCTTCTAACCTTTAATCAAAAGGCACACTGAATACACAGGGGTGTGTGGTACACACAAAGTATTGATTAAGATTTTTACTTTTAGAACATTTCACTTTAATATTTACAATCAATTCAGCTGTTTATGTTACATCTTCGATCTACACGTCGAACAGAGTGCAAAATATAACTGATTAAAGTCAAACTGCAAGCCATACTATTTTTGTGTGTGGACGATCTTAGTTAGCAAGAATATGAGTTAGCCATGCTTTGGCAGAGCGGTGCTTTGATGCCAGTATGCTAACATGCTGACATTGATGATGCTAAGCAGGTATAATGACTATGATGTTCATATCCGTTTAGCATGCTAACATTTGCTATTTAGTACCAAACACAAAGTACAGTACAGCCGAGACCGATTGATTGTTTTGCAGGAATTTAATCACAAACCAAACTACTGGACGAGTTAAACTTTTTACCTGATGATGGGGAAAATTAAAAGTCAAAGGATTGCCACAGCAATTACAATTCACCCTGAGGAGGGCATAATTGTGTGCACCAGATTTTAGGGCAATCCATCCAATAGTTGTTTGAGCTTGTATGTGAACATATTTTTGCAGTTGAATAGGAATATGTTTCAGATAAATCTACCTTGCAGCAGCATTTTAACACTGAACACTTTGAAAACAGATGAGGGAAAATGTATAGTTCTAAAGAAAAAGAGAATTGTAAACTAAAGTTTACACATGCCTGACTTCTAAAATATCAGTCTTTTCCACAAACATGCAAACCGAGAGGCAATGTGACTGTCCAGCATAAGGAAGTGAGGTACATCTCTGCAAGTGATTCACGTTGAAAACACAAGTGTACTGTCTTTCCACTCCCCCAGTCCTGTCTGCACAGTCCAGTGAAAGTCAGAATATTGAAAATGTTGTGGTCTCCGTCACACAGATGCATTTACACTTGGATGGGGTTAAACCAGCTTACCGCATTTCATTATGTCATCCGTGTGGATCTTAATGTGTCTCTGTAATTATAACACAATACATTCTAAAGATTACACATTCAAAGGTCCAGAGAGATTCAACTCATCACACAATCATGTTTGCAATAAAGGTCTTGCTGCATGTTGTTGACAAATACTGTATGAACTCAGATGGGCTCGCATCCTCTTGGGGCTTCTTTACTGAAAAATCTGAAGCACATTTGGCTTTTGCCAATTAATTTCCCCAAAGATGATCTACCAGCTTGAATAAGCCTTTCATGTTGGCCACAGATCTTGCTTCATAGCCATTTTGTACTTGCTAGGGCTCTTGCAGATCCCAGTCAACCCTGCAGAAAGTCACTAATGCATGAGAAACACTTCCTTCTCACCGTAGTCCGTCTCTTCTCCCACCGTTTCTCCCACCCTCCCCCTCCACCTAAAGGGCAAGGAAGTCGGGCTGGTCCTGTTGTGGCAACTCAGTTTGGGGTCATGCAGGAGGTTCCACATAAGCCAGATCTGAGGAACGCTGAGGCTGTGAACAACCATGAGTTCCCTGTAAAAACATGGGTCGAATGTCTGAAGGTGGGGCGCTGCAGACGGTCTGGGAATTCCAAAGGTCCGAAAGCCCTGGTGGCGCAATGGTTTGACGCTGATCAGCTGGAGACACATTCCCAGAAAGACATCATCAATGGGGAACAACTCCACCTGGAAGTTTAAAATAAAAAAGGATTGTAGATCTAAAACCTGTAAAAAGAGAGATACCAAAATATTCTAACTGACCAACTTTAATGTACCTGTTGACATGCAGAGCTAAGCCTCCGAGCTGTATGTCCCGACATGACAAACCCTCCTCCTCCAGCATAATTCGGATACAAACCCCCTCCATAAACAAACTCTGGCACAAAGTACTTGGAGTTGCGCCGGCGAATGGGTTTAGCATGGATAATTATATCACCAACAAACAGATCCTCATCTGGCTTTTGACCTTGTAGCATCTCTAATATATTCTCCACGTTAACATACACATCAGCGTCGCCCTTGAAAATGAACCTGTAAGAGAAAAAGATAATCATCAGCATCACATATGAGTCACATAAGGTTAAGGATCAGATCAGCTCCCATTTAGTTTAGCTTCATAAACACTGACTTGACATGGGGACAGGTGCTGTTAACCCATTTTAGAAAATGTGTTTCCTTCAGCGTCAGGTTGAAGAAGGTGTCATCAAAGTCCCAGAGCAGGATATCCCTAAACGTTTGACTCTCATAGGTCAAGAGCCGATCCCACAGAGGCAGCGCAGTACGATTCCTGGGAACTCCCAGCAGGAAAACAGTACGGATGGACACACCATTTTGGAAAAGTCCCTCTTTACCCCAGGTCCGACGTACCACCTAAAGACAATTAAGTGCAGAGAGAAAGAGATTAACTGACTGAGTGAGTAAAATGGTAAAGGAGACCTATTATACTGCTTTTCCAGTCCTGTATTGTAGTTCTGTGACTCCTCTATGGCAGCTTAGCATTAGAATTTTCTATCTATCACTTCATGCAGACCCTCATTTCAGCATCTGTCTGAAACAAGCTGGAGAGGCTCCTGTCTCTTTGAGACACTCCCCTCCAAAGTCCACTGTCTTCTTATTAGCCATTGTCTTATGTGTTTCTTTGAGAGTACTATCTGTGTGCACACAAATGTACAGAGGTAATCACAAAACGGCATGTCACTGAAAACACTAGTGAAAAATTTATTCAGGCTTTCTCTTCGACACCCGCCCTTTCATAGGTCTCAGTAAATTTGCTTGTAGATCATTTCAATTCTAAAATTACAAATGTTATTGATGCCATTGCAGCAACCAAGGTAAAGGTGGTCTCTGGTAAGAGAAGATCTCCATGGAGAAATGCCATGCTGGTTAGAACTCAAAAAAGAGTGTCGAAAAGCTGAACGCAGGTAGCAGAAAACAAATCTCCAGGTTCATTATGACGTCTATAAAGAGAGACTTCGCATTTATAATTTAAAACTGAGAAATGCAAGGCGGTCCTTCTTCTCTGACATCATCACCAAAAACATTAATAATGCACGTGCTACTGTCGACAGGCTAACCAACCTGTATCTGTAGCCTCTGAACTTCTATCCACCAGGGCCTGCAATGAATTTGCCTCCTTCTTCACAGCCAAAATTCAAACAATTAGACAAGCAATCAGTGTCTCCATGTCAGTAACAGGATATGCCTTGTCCCTGTGTCCACTTATAAACAATTTATATAGCATGAGACAATTGGATTCTATTAACCATAAAAACCTGGAGGACATAATACAACATCTGAAATCCTCCTCAGGCTGCCTTGATATTCTGCCTGTGATTGTCAACATGTCTCTCCTCTCAGGTATTTTCCCACAAGCCCTGAAAACTGCAGTCATTAAGCCACTCTTACAGAAGAGCAATCGTGACAGTTCACTAATGAGCAATTATAGGCCATATTAAATCTCCCATTTTGAAGTAAAATCATTGAAAAGGCTGTTTTTCAACAGCTTAGTGCTTTCTTGGCACTAAATAACTGTTTTGATGTCTTCCAATCAGGATTTCAACCACACCACGGCACTAAGTTGGCTCTTGTTAAGGTCTTCAATGACATCCATTTAAACACTGACAGTGGCAGAATTTCAGCCTTAGTATTATTGAATCTCAGTGCTGCATTTGACACGGTCAACCACAACATATTACTGGACAGACTTGAAAACTGGGTTGGACTTTCTGGCACAGTACTAAACTGGTTTGAATCCTACTTAAAGGACAGGGACTACTTTGTGTCTATACGTAATCACACATCTGAGCCAACAAAAATGACGTGGAGTTCCCCAAGGTTCCATTCTTGGGCCAATTTTGTTTAACATTTAAATGCTTCCACTGGCTCAGATTATGAAAAACAACAAAATATGTTACCATAATTATGCAGATGACTCACAGATTTACATAACCATTCACCAGGGGACTATGATCCCATACAGGCACTGAGTGACTGTATTGAGCAGTACTGTATTGAACAGGGATTTCTTTTAAATACTTTTACCTCATTATTTGAAGCTTTGGTTATGTTTAACATGAACATCTGACATTGTAACATTATACAAATGCCAGAATTTTCTTCAATTGAACAAAGATAAAACTGAAGTTATTGTTTTGTGATTGAAAGTCAGTGCTCAGCTTCAATCGGTAATGTTAAGAACCACAAACCAAGCCAGAAATCTTGGTGTAGTCATGGACTCTCATACTATCACCTGAAGAATATATCAAGGATTAGAGGACTTGGAGAAACTTTTCCATGCATTTATCTTCAGTCTACTCGACAACTGTAACGGTGTCCTTACAGGGCTCCCTAAGAAATCCATTAGACAGCTGCAGTTGATTCAGAACGCTTCTGCTTGAGTCCTCACTAAGACCAAAAAAGTGGATCACATCACTCCAGTTCTGAGGTCTTTACATTGGCTTCCTGTATGTCAAAGAATTGATTTCAAAATCCTGCTGTTAGTTTATAAAGCACTAAATGGTTTAGGGCCAAAATACATTTCTGATCTTCTGCTTCGTTATGAACCATCCAGACCTCTCAGGTCATCTGGGGCAGGTTTGCTTTCTGTCCAGAGTCAAAACTAAACATGGAGAAGCGTTCAGTTATTATGCTCCGTATATCTGGAACAAACTCCCAGATAACTGCAGGTCTGCTGAAATTGTCAGTTTTAAATTAAGACTGAAGACTTTTCTTTTACCACTGTTTTTAATTCAATTAAATTAAAGCGGTAGATTGGTACCTTGGTACCTTTCACTGCACTGTAATGTCCAGTTTTCTTTTTCTTTGTTTTTAGATTTTCAGTGCCCTGATTGTACACTGCACTCTAACTTTTACTGTCCTGTTTTACCCTGTTTTTTATCCTGGTTTTATAATGTGTTTTATTTTTTCAATTTTCCTGTGTTGCTTTTATGTCTGATTTAAAGCACTTTGAGTTGCCTTGTTGTTGAAATGTGCAATACAAATAAACTTGCCTTGCCTTGCCTTACCAGGGGCGAGTACAGCGGCGACAAAATGTACCAAGGAAAACAAGTCGTTCAATCTGAAAACATTGCAAACCAGTGCAAAACGTTTTGAGATTGAAGGTTGCCACAGGGTTGGGGCTGCATGTTCCTTTGTGGCGTGGGCAGCATTCTCTGCCTGGAGCAAATGACATATATGGAAATCCAGCTCGGAATGACATCATTCTGAGCCGTTGGTAGAAAAAACTGTTTAAAACAGAGCATTCAGAACAGGGGGATTTCTGAGGTTTTGGCTAACAGGGATTTCTTTTAAATACTTTTACCTCATTTGAAGCTTTGGTTATGTTTAACATGAACATCTGAGTTTGTAACATTATAGAAATGCCACAAAATATGAAAAAGCATAATTGGTCCCCTTCAAGTTAAACCTGCTTTCATATGCCCAATTGTGAGCAGCACATTAGCAAACAATCACGTATTTACATTTTGAGCTGACACGGAGCAACATTTGGAGATATGTTTATGTCCACCAGACAATTGTAAGTCCAACATTTGTTCTATTTTTAGCTCTGGTTTTGGTCTCCACCATCCCCTGAGGGAAATATCTGGCTCTTTAGCTACTAAATGATCCACTGTGTTCACAAGCTAGTTGCTAATTTTGCCTGTCTTCTGTTCAGTGCTGGGCAGTTAATTTTTTATCAGAACATTTTCAATGAACAGCTGCTGGTTGCGGCTGAAAAACAACACTGCAGTGAGAGTGAACTAAAACAGTAAAGGCTGGAACAACAAGCAACAACAAGATCTCAGCTTAGGCGATAATGCTGAGGGAGCAATAGCAATTCAATCTGCTTTAACTTAGCAACTTTAAACTTAAAAGAAACCTTGAACTGTATTGTACAAAAGAATACAGCCTAATTTATGTAGTGAATCACAGCTAATTTACAAAGGCAAAGGCCTACATACAACATGGCATATTTTACCTGACGTTTATCAAAATCTGCAGCGATAGATTTTACTGCAATGAGCATGTAGGGAGGCTTAGTAGACCCTTTACTTCCTCCTCCTTCTTCTTTGTCTGCTCCTATGATGTGACATTTCTCTGGCTGGTCTATGAGCAGCTTAAAGTCTCTGTTATCCTTTTCTTCAGATAGCCTTCAAAGTCAAATGGTGGCATTGTGGGAAGGGCCTTGCAAGCCGCCTTAGTCGGCACAACATTTTTCCGTCGCAACGTGGATTTCCCCTTTGATTTGACCTGAGGTTTGGACTTGGCCTGAGGAGGTTTAGACTTGTCCTGGGGCTTGCAGAGAGGCAGCTGTGGCTCTGAAGGTCTGGACGTGAACTGCTAATCAGGAGAAATGATATAATTGATATAATGATTATAACATGTAAATGTCATCTTAATGAGCAAATGTATCAATGTATCTGCAAAAATGCTTCTCGGAACATCAAAGTAATAAACAGAAATATGAAAGCGAAAAAACACGACATAGAAAAATAGTATCCTCATTTCTGTTTATATTGTTTCACTTTGTTAATCTCTTCATGGTTCATGATGAAATGTGTGCCTCTGTGAATCAGCACAGATGGACATCACACAAACATAAACACAAACATACTGTGTGTACATACATTAATGCACTCTGCATGTACATACAGCACACAGAGCATCATATACTTATATGGGATGTGAACTTCCCTAATCTTATAAATAAGGGCCAGACTAACAAATTGTCATTATTATTAACTTGAATTAGATCAGGTCATACCACTGGAGACTCCGGGATTACTTTGGCCCCACTGGCGCCCAGTAGGGTCCTGCTGGAGCTGGTAGAGCCATGAACTTCTAGCTTCCACACAGGTCTGTCCCACCCAGAGGAGAGCACAACCTGGAAAACATGGGTGGGATTTGATGGAACATGGTAAGAGGAAGTACTTTTCAAGAAGGAGGGGGTTATATTGTCTAGAAATGTACAAAAATCTTGATCTAACCCTTCCTATGCTGTGAGTGGTTCCATCCTCACCTGGCGTGCATAGAGCAGCAGACAGAATAGTATCAGTAGCAGCATCGTGCAAATCACATCTCCCTTCACGTGGAGGATCCTCCTCATGGTCACCATCTTCCTCAGCATCTTCTGAAGACACATACTTCAGCTTGGTATTGAACAGGAATGCACTGGAAAGGGGCCGCTGCAGTTCATGCTGCTTTTCAGACAGCTGTTGAGACCAATCCACAGCTAGGAGACAATTTGGGTTTGCAGGCTGATCCTCTATTTGATGAAGATATGTGGTGATTTTCCTTGCTGCTCTTTACTGCAGTGCTAAATATCACCTCAAACTGTATCCTGTAAAAATACATCCCTGCTGTTCTTTTTTCTCTTAGTGGTCAGGCATGTACTGTTGCACTGGGTGAAAAGTAACTAAGAGTGAGTTGGTCCTGTATCACTCATATCAGTGGATGGCCATCTTGTCTGTCTCCATCCTCCCCTTCTTCTAAGGGCACCAAATGGGCGGGGGCATTCTAGACAACACCAACAACAAAACATCAACAATCAGGGATCAAACAGGGACAACAGGCAGGAAATAACTGGGAATTGCAATGTAACACAATTTACATCAACTTTGGTGCTTCTTTTTACAATGAGGATATTGCCACTTGTCCTTTCCTCCATTATTTTGCTCTACTAAGGAAGATAAACTGGCCTGGTTGTCTACTTTGAAGCCCTCTCTCATCTTGTGCAATGCAATAAAATAATCTCCCTTTGTGGCATAAATCAATTCAGCAGATTCTTCTTAAATATGTCCCTGTGGCAAAAAAAAGGGCAAATATGATGCAGTGTAGAGAAGAATAGACACTCAAATCATCTACTTTCCCATCCACAGTGCTTATTTACTTCTCAACAGCATGGTTTTGGTAATTTGGAGGTCACACAGATATTAGCATCTTTGTTAAAACTGGTTACATTTGGTTGAATAGTGAATAGTTGAACATAGGGCCTGCAGCTGGTCAAAGTAGTAACTCCTTGAGGACAAACAATGTCATGAATTTAAAGTAATACAATATGCTATTGCTTGCTGATCAAGTAGCAAATCTCTAATATGTAATATGTGTGTATATTTCTTGAGTCACATACCGATTCAAAACTTCTTTTAGGAGGGGGAGGGTTTTATGTAAGTAAACATGATGAGGGTAGCTACCAACTATTTCTTCAAAGAACACCGTGTCCCAACATTCATATCCCTGAAAGTCACCCATTATTGCTGACATAGAAAATTTGCTTTTGTATATATGTTACAGTTTAATCAGCTCTTTGACTCTGTCACAGAGCACAAATTCCAGACAAGCGCGACCGATACTGTCGCAAACCTCTCGCGCAATTAACACAGAAACAGAAAGCAGGCTGAACCAATATCTCAATATATATATATATATATTCCGCATATCGTGCAGTAGCCTATCAACAACAAGCCTGGCTTTATAATCATAATACGTGTGAAATGTCCCCTCATTAATGTAAATCATTCATACTTACCAGGCAAGACAGAGGAGGAGGTCAAAGTGAAAACATCTGTGCCGTGGATGCCTGAAAGTGCAACACAGACAGGCTCAACTCTGCACACGAACACACAGAGGAAACTGATTTCCAGTTTCCAAAGACAGCGATCCAGTGAAAAGAGAGGAGAGGGCTGTCCAGATGCTGTATTCATGAGTCTGCGAGGTAGGACAGAAGAGTTTTCCTGGCGCTGAGCCCGTGTGTATGAGCTGCGCTCATGGTTGCCTTCAAGTGCTGTGGGAAATATCTCTACTATCAACGAAATGTGTTGAAAAGTACAAATTCATTTTTGAAAACATTACAGTTAATGAGTTTTCTTCATATGGGCTCAGATATTCAGGAAATACTAATACTGCTTGTTGTCAGTTTTAACGTCTGTGTAAAACAGGTGAGAAAAGTGACTTTTGTTACCACAACCAACATTGTGAACAATTATGAGCAATTATAAAATAGGAATACATTTATTCATTTAGCTGACGCTTTTATCCAAAGCGACTTACAATTGCTATATATGTCAGAGGTCGCACGCCTCTGGAGCAACTAGGGGTTAAGTGTCTCACAGTGGATGCAAACCCGGGTCTCACACACCAAAGGCATGTGTCTTATCCACTGCACCATCACCACGCCAACATACACACACACACACACACACACACACACATATATATATATATATATAAATCGATTTGATAAATCACAAATCACATAATTTTGATATAAATCACAAAAGTCGTATCTTGCCTGACAAATATTTGAATTTGAATTCCCCACTGTTACCTCATTAGTCTGTCAATCCAAAGTAGGTTGCTAGATGTAGCTACTAGATATGAGACTATGCGCTGGTAGCCAGAAGAGGGAGCTAACGAAGAGCATCTGAACGCAGCATCTTCATGCTTCAAACTGACCACGTGACGTAAACTCGCGCAAAGCAACTTCACGCCAGATGCCAACACAGCAACTGGGGAGGATGGTAGCAGAAGAAAGAAAAGAGAGGAGAGACTTTTGTAAACACCCTCCAGAATAATAAGCAGCCCAGCCTACATTGCTGATGTATGTCCAAAAACTGGAAGCAATGTCCCATCACTTTAAGCTCATACTGTGCCGCCAGGCTTTGTTCTCTTGCAGAACTTGATCTTACATTTTAGATGGGATCCATAAGTTTCCAAAAACACCACATTAATGTTTTTTATTTAAAGTTATACAAAATGATTAATATTAACTTTATTCCCCTTTCTTTTCACCGTTATGTGCTGCTGTCTTTGAGAAGAGGCGTATGTGGTAGAAAACTGGACTCTTACAACACCAGATACTTTTCAAATACACACTAATTCTAACTTCCATGTTCAAATCCATCAGCGGTACACTCAGAATAAACAGCTGAGCGAGCCAACTTGTCTGAGAATGACATCATGCCCTTATAAAACTGCAACAATAACGGTTACACAACCTTTTAAAACACATGTTCATTTAGTGATGGTTTCTGCAAACTTACATTTACAATCTCTGTGTACAATCTACAAAAGGTAAACAAGTTCAACACACAGTACTGGTCCTATGTGACATTCATTAATTTAAAAGAGTTTTCTTTGGCTACAAACAGCACACAAACACACAACAGCTGGGAGCAGAGACCTGAGTCTGAGCGACCTGACACACACAACTATCAGGGCCACCAGTGACTTCCAATGGCACGACTGTCTGGCAGGAAGCTGCTGTCTGTCTTGCTCCAGCTGTGCTCTCTCTAAACATCACTGCATCAGCTGAATTAAACAGTTCAGGGTGCTGATCCAGCAGCTAGTCATTTTCTCTAAACCCTCGTGTCTTTGGGGAAACAGTTTGGATGACTTTTCTGAAGTTTAAACATCTCTTAGACACATGTGCAACATCACCCGGGAACCCCTCTAGTATGTTCATCGGACATTAGGCTTAACTCTTTCTTTCTTAACTCTTAAGTACTGATTCTATCACACTATATGTGAGCGTGTAACTGGAGAAAAACACAAACTTTGTTTTGCACGAGTTTCAGACAGCAGCAATATGTTGAATATTTCCGATCAAATAATTAAATTTTCTCACTGTACTGAGGCCATCTTTGTTCTGTTGCATTGGAGAATCAGTATGGGGAGCGTCGCAGCTCTTGTGTCGCTCTTGCCTGCTGACTCCTACATTCATATTGACAATTATCTACCTAAGCTGTAACTGCACTAAATCAAGCTCTTCCAAACAGCCACACAGCTAGACTGAGATGGATGATTACCAGTGCACTAAGCCTGTGGTGAGCGTTTTATTTCCGTGAGCTAGCAGTAAAAGTATTATGGAGCTGGTGCCAAATGTTGCTGCCAGGCTGTTGCTTATTCCTAAATCATGGAAAAAGATAGATTAAGGCTACAACGGCGTCCCCAAATCACAGTCTTAGTGTCTTCTGCCTTTCATTTCAAAATGTTCATCTCACTGGTGAGACACCCTTGCTGGTGCAGTGTTTAAAACAGGCGAAGTTCATTCAACATGACAGTACTGATCAGTTGTGCTTGTGACCGTCGTTCTCATTCCAATCCGTTTGTCCATTTCTGCATTCCCGCTGCCTCTACTCTCAGGAGGATGCAGTGCCAGCTCTCATGATCCTGAAGAGTGCATTGACGTTATTGCTCTTGATAGCGTCTCGACAGGCAGAGATCACTTGGTTCTTGGGCTTACCCACTGAAGACAAGGGGGAGCAGTGACAGACAGATTAATATGAGGAGACGAGACAGGTATGCAAGATGTAACAACACATAACACACATTTACTGTTGATTTTGTAGGTTAGCCTGTTGAACTTGGCGTTAAGAAGTTGTGGGGCACAGGCTGTGCGATGTGAACTAATGTTGTAATATTGAGGGACAGTCAAGAGAAAGTGTGTGAATGTTAAGTCTCATTTGAAGTCTAGATCTAACATCCCCCTCTCATTGACCAAATGGTCAAAGAGTAGGTAGAATTTCAGTCGACCAAGATTTATTTGGTTGACTACATCCCTAGATCTCCCTACATAGTACATACTTTGTTATTACTGTTGAATACATATTATTGATGTTACTTGCATCACTGTCATGGACAAAATAAATGTTTTAATGGCTGAATGTGAGTAATTTGCAGAAATTTGCTTGTTAATGTTTTAAAGCAATATGTTTTTAACCAGAGGTTGTGCCAGTTCCACTACAGTCCAGCCACATCTAAAGAAGACAGCATAAAAAAATGGCAACATGTCATGTCATGAGTGTTGTTTCCCTGCTAAGACGAAACTCTTTTCATACCTAATACGCTACATATTGTTACCAAAAAAGGTTGTTTCCAGCCATACTCAAGTACTCTCCAAAGCATTAAACTGGCTTAAACCATGTTAATAATATGATTTAACAAACAGACTGCTTTTTGTGACCAGACAGTGCATAAACACAGATATTTCACATTCTTTGCAAGCACTCTAACAGTGCTGTGATTTAAATAAATTAAATTAAAAAATATATATATGTAGTCCCTTACCCACATCAGCAAAGCTTTTAATATTCACTAATGTGCAAAAGCTTTGGAGCTAAATAAATTTGTGCTGGCAAAGACTTGAGAGAAGAAACATACCTGAATCCAGGTACACACATGCACTACATTCCAAAAAACTACCCACCTACAATAATATTGATTGTCCCAGACAATCCCTGACTTGCACATCCACTCTCTCCTACACAACAGGCTTGACTTAAAGCCAGCCAGCCAGCCCACATACAATACTGTTGTGAAGGAATTGTGGTTTTTACAGTGTATCTTACACATACACATGCACTCACACGCACACACACAGTGGCCTACCTCTGAGTCTACCAGCCCGCTGTATGGCCTGGTTGACAGACTTGAGGCAGGCCAGTAGTGCATTGTGGTTGTTAGAGCGGATTTTATACTCGTTGATCAGATCTCTGTTTAGGTCGTACAGCTCTCTGTAACGCTTCTTTGTAGTTGTCCTACAGAGGGCAAGAGAGAAAATCAGAGAGAAAGTATTGGGAAGAGAGGGAGAGAAAGATGAAGAGTGAGTTGGTCCTACGTTAAAAAAAGACTATATATCAGTCTTATCAACTTATGGTGAAATATATGCTTAACATTATAACCTTCATGAAGGTAGGAAGACTGCTGCATTAGTTTTAGCCAGATACATAATGAACTGGCAACTATTTGTATGTGTTCTTCATGTTTTTGATAACAATTGCTCTTTTGTTTCAGAAGTCAGTAGTTAGAGTTTTTGCAATCCAATCGACCGTGTTCACAGCAGACATCTGGAATTATCATAGTGGAAAAAGCCCAGTAACATGATGCAGTAATGATGCCGCTCTCTTTTTGATGCTCTTAAACAAGCTGGCACAATACCACGGCTCTGTAAGTGGCTGACCTAAATGGCATCCAACCATCAGAAATGTTATTTCAATTATTCTCAAGCGCCCTGGTACATTTTTCAGATCAGAACTCAAATTCTCAAAACTACATGTTCAACCTCCACATCGTCTCGTCACTTGTGAACATCATAAAAGCAATTTCTCATACTTTTGAACAAAATGCTTTGACACATTTATGCAACTGATTATGTACAATGTCTGCTGTTTCCTCTATTTCTCAGTTGCTTATGTCATGTTGATTACAATGTTTTATACTGGTTCTCTTATCATTGCTTAGACCAAGACAGTCAAAATGCAAAGACATCTTGTCAAATGACAGACAGTGCACTCTCAAAGGTTGATAACTACCCACTATGTAATACTGTCCAATTGCTAACATTGTATTCTTAGGCAGCTGACTTGATGCCAGCCATGGCACACACTATACTTTCAACAAAACATTTATTTGACGACACTGTGGACCGGCCCAGATTAGGTTGCACTCTTCGACCAGCCTCTGTCTTACTTAGTTGATTACATGGTCTGTAATTTTTGCCTGTATCTCAGCCTTTCTCAGGCTCTTCGTCATCCTCTGTGCCCCCCTCTCCTCCTCACCATACCTCTTGCACAGGCAGACTCTTGTCACCGTCTGTCTCCTGCATGCTCAATATTCCACAGCTATAACACTGAGTCTTACCCTTGCAGTATGCTGTAAATTGAACAGCAGTTGCGTTTGGTTGCGCTAAGTTGTGAGGAAATTAAATTGTTCCCCATCTAGCCTGAGTCTTCCTGACAACTTTAACAACACTATTACATAACTAATTATGCATCTTATATAATGCGTGACAGGTTATTGTGAGTTTTGGTCGCTCTATTTAGCATGTAGGGATTTACACAATGTACATGTGTATAATTGCATTTGAGAGAAATATGATTCAACAGCAAACAAATGCAAAGTAATTTGATCTGAAGGTTTTCCTCAGTGCATTTTGTGCCAAAGCAATTATAAAATACTATAGTCATGTGAACAACTGACCTTATGTTCATATAAATAGTCACAAAGTTTAACAAAGTTCGACGATTGTGCCAAAGTGATTGAGAAAAACTCTTAAGAGGTGTTTCCCATTATTACATTTATAAACTTGTAAATTTTTTCCATTGTGCTATGCAGTGCTGTCTTGTCTTTTTCTTTTATGTATCACAATGACATGCTCCGTCATCAAATGTGTAGCACAAAACAAAGTGTAACTGTGAATCCTGTCCAATCTCTTGCAATGTTTAACTTCATACCGTTGAAATTGAAATATGTCGGAGAGAAAAAGTGCCTCATTGCCCCATCATCGTCATTAAAACCATACCCACAGTTTGCAGTACACTGTTGTATTCACAACATAGCTAAAGATTCTGACTATCTTCTTTGTAAACAATGACACAAGGATTAGTCAGGTTCACTGATATTTACTTTTGAGAGGTAGACTAATGAGTTTGAGCAAATTATGGGCTTTTGCAGGTAATCCACTATGTGGTGCTGTTTGTACGACCTGTTTCGAGAAATGGACTTACTGTTTTGCAAATGTTAAGGATGATTTGAGAAATGTGACTGTACACTATGACATGTAAATATGTCTGCTGATGTGTTGCCTGTATTTTACATACAAGGATTATAAATGAAAGCAGTTTAAACTACTGTCACTATATAAAAGGGGTACTGTATGCATATTGTGACCACTCACATGTCACCCATAAGGCGAGCGTCCTCTGCTTGCACCAGCATGTTCCTGATGTAGTTGGAGTGGTCGGCCATAGCTGCAGTTAACTTCTGGTGGACGGAATGGAACTCGTCCACCTAGCACACAGACATTTCAGACTCAATATTAAACTTTCTGCTGCGTCGACTCAATGATACTTCTCTCCTAACTTTTAGCTCGCGTTCAAAACAAACCGGAGTCACTGAATTCTCTTTCTGGACAAAAAAACAAAAGTGATTCCTCATGTGCTCCCTGACTTTCTCCACTTTGTAGTCAAAGTCGTAGTCATAAAAGTCAATGTGCGCATCACAATGGACAGAAGGTAGAATAAACAGCGAAAACTGTTTCTGACAGGTTTCAATCTGATTAAGGCCAAACCTCAGTGAGTGTACTGCGTAGCTCCTCAAAGTATCCGGGGAAGTCTGCTTCTGCTGACAAGTCCTCGATTGCCAGGAAGGAGGCCAGTGACTGGACCAAATCTCCCGCCAGGTCGATGTCGTCGGTTCTCAGAGTGATCTGATTGGGCAGATTAGAGATTAATTAACTGACTAATTTTAGTAGCTTTAAAAGGAAATGCCATGGGCTATTGGAACTTTGTGCAAATTAACATATCTGTTTTGCTTATTCATGATAAGGTAGTGTATATGTAAATGATTTACATATTCACATTTCCCTTTATGAGAACAAAAAAAAGTTAGCTTAAGTATGCACAATGCAAACCCTTTATCTTTAAATACTAGATTTTAATGTCCATCATTGTCGTAATTTATTCAATGTATTTTTTATTGCGGTTGTTGTTGTTTTTGTCTTATTCGTACCTGTCCATTGCTGGCCATGCTGATGGACAACAGTCCCCCTCCTCTTAGTGAATTGAAAGTGACGTCAGGACTGTCTACTCCCTCGGGAAGCAGGAAGTTCTGATTCAGCCACATCACCACCTATACACACACACACAAACGTGTGCACATGTAAACAATTAGATACATATCTCAGCATGTTATTGGCTTGAACATGCTGTTTGACTAATCAGAAGCACATATCCCATTGTTCTGTCTTCTTGAAAGACACATCGACAGCCTACCCGCTGTGGTCGGTCGTTGATGCTGAAGGCGACCCTTCCAGTGGGCAGAGCGGCTGAGGGTTCAACTGTGATGTCATACATGGAAAAACGAGGCAGCTGCCGAGTGATTTCAAACACGTGGAATTGGGTACTGGGAAAAGAAAGGAAATGCAAAGAAGGCAGTGTGGGGGGCAGAAAACAAAGTAGAGGTTAATTACATGGGATGAAATATACAACGATTATATGATAACTTGTCTTACACACCTAGTTTTCCCTCCAACAAAGGCTTTGATGTGCAGATCTACTGGTATGTCTTTTGGGGGGACAATGGGGACTCGGACACAGCCTGACAAGTTCTGGGCGCTGGGGTGGACAACGTGGCTTTCCCCCTCAAATATCCCCTCTGCAAAGATGAGCACTGCACGGATAATGGTTTCTGGAGAGGATAAATAAGAGATTGAAGGACATATGAGAATTCAGTCAGTCCTTGACATGCTTGATATTCTTACGTAAGTGCTAAAACACTCTACCATTTGGTGTTGAAATGCTGAGCTCTACATGGGCCTTTTGGGCCTCTGCAGCAGGTCTCACTGACAGTGCTGTCTGGAGCTGAGTGTTGGCTGGTATGACACCCATCCCACTGTTTGTCTCTGACACACCCTGCAACAAATGTACAGTTTGTGTTGATGCACATACAATGTACAGCCAAATGTCAACAAAGAATCCTGCGATGATTTATATGAAGTCTATTATCTCTGAAACAAACAGGGATATGGCTAAAATATGATAAAAAAAATGTAAAGTGTTTCAAACAAAAACAGATTACAAGAATCAATCAAATGAGTGACCTGAAGTGAACATGAAAGTGTTAAGAGGTTTTCATGGCTTTTTCAGTTTTTTGGCCTAAGGGTGATGCTGGCAGTCATTATGGCAAGCCGCTTTTGTGTAAGCATGGGAATCCCAGTGTGAGATAAATATGCTGCCTATTATAATGACAATCTCAAAGGTAAGATGAATATATTCAAATTAATTAAACCAAATATTTACTGACGATATGTTTTGAACATTTATAATATTGTTATTGAGGAAAATTATATTGTGATAATTATCATTATTGTTTTATTGCCCAGCCCTATTGTCAAGAACCAAAAGGTATCACGTATGATATAAATAAATAAATTACTGATTACATTATGTAACACAGTTTTTGTTCCTGGAAGGAAGCCTTCAGATACCCTCAAGACTTCTTCCCTAAGCTGTCTGAGGCAAAGTCTGAGGTGTCTGAGGCAAAGTCCATGTTAGTAATAAGTAATTAAATTCAAAATATCACTGTCCTGGTCATAAAAGCAAGTTCGTGTGGAATAATACCCATTATCTATACTTTTGAGGCATAAGCAATTAAGAAATAACATTGAAAAAAAATGTTACACTAAACTAAATAATAAATGAATAAATTACTGAATAAATGTTACCTTGGCATTTTCTTCATAGTTGCGTAGCTCCAGCAACAGATTCTGTCTGCGCTGGCTGAGCTCTCTAATGAGGTCCTGTTCAGCACTGGAGTCCATAAGATTTCCTTTAAGGTCCTTACTGGCTGGCAGGTAACCACGGACTACAAGATACACACGTTTACATTGATGAGATCCTAATCCAAACTTAAAGGGTCAATTCTCCCAAATCACCATTAGCATGTTTGCATGCTTTGTCTCAACTGCACTAACAGGAATTTTGTCTTTTTGTTTTTGTGTGGAATCAATACATTAACTGAAGTATTGAGGAATTGGACATTTTTGTCCTGCTGGGGGCAATTGTATTTAGTTTACAGCAATAGATTTTTGTCAAAGCATTTATCCAGGAACACACACATTGACACACATTAAAATTCAACCAGTTCCAACATGTTTTCTCATATGCATACGCACACGCAGAAAACATACAGGCACACACATCCAAACAACATACCTTCTCCCTCTACGGAGGTGCAGATAAGTTGTTTCTGTCCATCCAACCGGTAGTCTCCCTCCACCACTCCAGCCACAGAAGAGGAGAAGTTGTCTTTGAAAATGACCTCACCTGTGCGGTCGCTACGAGCATCAATCTGAAATATAAGTCGAATGTGATCAAAGACAAAAGAGAAGCTAGAGATACAATAGAAATTAATGATCTGTTGTGTTGTGACATATCCCATGTCCCAAGTGTGACAGGCTGTTTCTAGCCTGCCATGTTGTGTGCTGACCTTTCCATTGGACCAGCCAGTGATAAGCTCCACCACCCCATCAGCATTCAGGTCAAAGGCATGGATGCTCATTGCGTGATTCTTGGACTGAATGGGGGGAGAAAAACATGTGTGTTTGTATATAGCTCCTAAAGAGTGCGGAGTGTTAAAATATCATGCTCATGCTGGTTCAAATCGTTCCGGACATGTAACAAATCATCGGACAGTGTGCATGACAACAGATAGAGAAGGGAGGGACAGAGCTGAAGCTGTCAGTAGAAAAACCAGAGGGTACCTTAATCCTCCAGTAGCGGGCGGTGCGGTCATAAACTCCCACCGTGCCATTAGCCAGGGCATAGCCAAACCTGCTGCCATGCATATGGCACAGCGATGTTACGGTCTATATGGAGAAGGACAGAGGGATAGCATGTCTTGTCAAAAATATTACTCTGCTCCAGTAGACCACAAGACAGATATGATAATCCACAAGATAAGAGTAGTAATGAGATTACAAATCATAATTGCGGCACTGTTCCCTGTATAAAACATAATTTAAAGCATTTAAAAGGCACACTGTTGTCAGTATAGATTTTCTCTGGAGTCAACAAGCTTAAAAAGAGTGAAATCCATACCTCATTTTCAGTCATTTCAGACACAAGCTCATCCTCTTTGAATACCCTGATGTCAAAGTCCTCCGATCCTACCAGGAGCTGTAAACACAATATGCAATAGATGACAGCGTGTTTTTTAATGAACAAATTACCATATTAATGTGAATGAATCTTTCATTTAACTCATGGCTATAGTTCAAACACAACTGTAAACACTGTTGAAGTAGAGAGATATAGAAAACAAGAGAGAGGCCACACAGCATGTGTATCAGACTGTCAGCCAGCTGAGACTTACCTCATTTTTCCCATCTCCAGTGAAGTCACAGAGCACCAGAGATCTGACATTATCTCCAGTTACCTAATAACAAAATAGTTCATGACTACATTAATTTAGCTGATTCTGCCATTTGAAGGAATGTTCATTCATGGATTGAAAATAATCGTAGATACAAAAATATGGTTATCTACTAATGTAAATTGAATAGGCCTAATCAAATACATTGGGCAAATGTTCTTGTCTAATTAGTGGCTAGAATATGGTTGGGTATACAGAAATATGCTATTAACAACAAGCTCAGGACTAATGGCTAAACCTTAAAAGGTTTTCAACATTCAGTTTCAGAAATCACAGGGAAAATTTCATGTAAGTGTCACTATATCATGAGTTGTGTGTTATATTGCTTTTCTTACCGTCCAGAAGTGGTCGTTGCCCTCATAGTCAAAGCCTTGTAAGGCACAGTTCCCTCCAATAATGGCAAGAGGAGACGGGATGTCCCCGAGTTTCCCCAACACAATAGCATTCGCCCCATCCGTCACCTACACCCACACAGAAGAAACAGAAACAACAGAAACAGATCCTCAACAAAAGCACGTCTGTTTCAGGACAAACAAAAGACTTTCAGAGCATCCATCACCTTTGTGTATTTGTGGCACTTCTTTTCTAACTTATCTTGGGGCCGCTACGTGGGCTATCTTGACCACTGTCCTTTTCAAAGCTCCTGTCATGTGTGCTAGCTACATCATTGTCATGCTCAAGTTCTGCTTTTAAATAATCAGATTCATAAACGGCACAAAACAAAATCCTTCGATCATTATCATTAGATATATCTTTATTTCCAGCATTACTGTCATCAAAGAAAGTGCTGCTCTGCACTATACCTGACACCCAGGTGCTGCACCATCATGTTACTGTGACAGTAAGCTAATATAAACAAACTTTTTCATCGTGTCTGTATAGTGACATAGTGACAACAGTGCAATCATGAGGTCAAATAGGAACACACAAGTGCCCACTATCGCTTCCATCCAGCATACCGTGAATTAAAAAGGTAATACTCTAGTGTTACCCTAGTACCCTAAACACTAGACACTTTTTTGGGGGGGGGTTGGACATTTTACACCACAACATTGCTAAAAACAAATACTTTGAGGAATACTAGGGAGCTGAGTGCTTAAATGAATAAAATTAATGAATCAGACAGGGTGGAAAGACCCGGGTATGCATTTAAAAGAAAAAGTGTTTACATCTATGCTGCAAATATTTTTCATTGTAATTAGTATTTCTTAAAAACTCCATTTGTGGTAGCATCCACCATTACATCCAAAGTTATCACTCCCCTTATTCTCCTCAGCTCCACTCACTTCTCTGTAGAAAATATCAGCATTGTCATGGACATCATAGGCCAGTAGGTTGGTCTGGGATCCCACCAACAGTGTGTCCCCAGTGGTGTTTGGTCCCAGCGTTCCTGCCGTCAGACAAGTGACTGCCTGGTTGATGTTGAGCAGAGAGATGTCTGAGTCCTGGGTGCTCTGGCTCAGTCGGTGAGCCACAGGCCTCTGACCACGAGCATGCGGGTTGTGGATAAAAACCTTATAAAGAGAAACAGAAGAGTATAAATATTTATATATATAAAGTAAGGAAGGATTATCATGTACTCAAGACAACGACCATGCTATGAATGAATGTTAAGAATTCGCCACTATTATGTTGGAACAGTTCAAACTTCCCTCACCTTTCCAGCCTGTGTGGCAGCTGTAAGGCATGGGTGGACTCCATCAAATCTCCCAACAGTCACCATGCGAGGGTTGATCTTGTGGTTCAGCTTCAGAGTGAATATGGGGACCAACATAGTGCCTACTGTATATCCCTAATCAGACAAGAGCCAAGAAGAGACACGCAGACAGACAGCGACAGCAATGTATTATTTCACTTCTTTTCGGGCATTTGGAGACTGACTAAACAGGCACATGAGCAAAGCAGCATGCCGTGGCAATGCGTGATTTTGCTACACTAATGTAATTACAGGCTTTATCTCAGGCTCCAGTGGAGTCATGTTGCCTAGCAACAAGGAGTGGCAAGCTAAAGCTGTTCATCTGACTAATCTCCCCGCCGTTTGCTATACAAGAATATCATTTATACAATAAAAGGACATGGCTCTTTAACATATCGTAACACCTGCATTAACACAAAGTTCAAAATCGAACATTTGGAAGAAATAAAATCGCCTAACGGTATATGTTTGCCTTCATTTCCTTGCAAGCCTAGCATGACTAACGTTAGATAACGTTCAACACTTTAATGCCGCCGACAGGAAACAACTCAAAACTACCGAAGACACAAAAACAAACGAGATCATTGTTTTTGTGCAAACAATCTTACCTGGCCTCCGACTCCACTGCAAGTGTTGGATTCTGGTTAAAATGAGCTAGCCGGCTAATGAGCTAGCTGGATTGCGTGACAACCCATGACGACAACGCAGTGGAAATGACGTGCTATTCCACGCCAACAACCGCTTTCTATCGGTTTTCAAATTAAAATATTTTGGCTAAACTTTCCAAGAACCAAAGTGTGTGGAAGCAGTTCTGTTTGATAGAACTATGAGGAGAATAGATGAGCGAGCAGAGGTGACCAGATGCGAACAGATTGAATTCGTGACAGAGGAGTTAGGGGTGGGCGTTACCCCTAGTACTTTCAGTGTCAACAGTAAAACCACAACACCTGAAAACAAAACAGATTCTGGTTGTATTTAACCTAGATAGCTGGCCTCTGACCCTCCTTTACGAATGTGCTCAGTGAATTTGTTTTGGCTTGGTGTTTTTTCTGCTCCAACGTGCCTGCGAACGTTGTCACCTTGTTGTGTGTTTTTATATACAGTCTATGGCTGTGTCCCTGGTTTAGAGCAGTTTTGCACCTGATGGGATATTCCATTGGGTAATTTAATATAAAGCAATGCATCATTCTCTTTAAGATCATCACGTGTTTGTCGCGATGTCTTCTGACAAAAACTAAACTAAGCTTTGGTCGTCTTGACAGTTTCAACTTGGAAATAACTGCACGGATGCATTAGCAAGATGGCTACCGAGGGGCGGAACATGTCTATGGAGAGTTTGCTCTTATTTAGCCAGAGTTATAAGGAGGGCTCGTCCGGGATTTGAACCCGGGACCTCTCGCACCCTAAGCGAGAATCATACCCCTAGACCAACGAGCCGGCTGTCGTCAGAGGGTCCTGCTGTACCATCAGACCACATGTGATTGAATTCTTCAAACACATCTCATCTAGTCAAACAGATGCCTCCGCTGAAAAAGCAGCTTGTCAAGATTGAGCTTGAGGACACACATCCACTGAGAGATGTCAGCCAGACACAGAGATTTGCGTTACCTCCTAGCTTTCAGACTGAGGAAAGGACAAAATTATGAGCACCCTAAGCGAGAATCATATCCCTAGACTAACCGCTTTTCCTAGGTCTTGTGGTGCAATAATGCTGCGATGTGTTGAGAAGAAATCTGCTTGACACTGTTCTTGATCATGAAAGTTTATTACATCAAGGAGTTCAGCATCAATTACAAGCTCTGCAGCAGCTTGGAGAGTGACCCAGCCCGATGGCCACTCTGTCTCTCTGTACATCAAAACACAGCTTATATAGGACATGTTTAGGTATCTGTTAGGTACCATATAAGGGTCTGAGTCTGCAAACTAAGGCACCAATCCATATAAGAGCAAAGTTCTATAGGATAAGTGTAGACATCTGTTAGACACCATATAAGGGTCTGAGTCTCCACATAACCACTGACCTCTGCTCTCCCCTTAAAAGGTCACTAATCCTCTATCCAGCTTCTACAGTGCTTTGTTAAACTGTTATGCGTCAAATGCACATATGTTATACACCACAGTCTCATCACAGATAAAAGTTCTCATGGACTTTTTACAGATTAGGTGTTTTCTCCAGCTTATTGCCATTTGGATTTTTAGGCTTGCTCATTTTTGATCTCCATTGATGCATTGAGGTTGACCAATTATTAGTTCAGTTGAAGTGTGACATTGCTGACTTGCTAATTTCACTTGAATTGCCCATTAATGTCATTTTTTGCAGTAGATAAGTCTAAATACTGCCTACTCAGCATACCAGGTTTTTATATTTAAATAGTGTTTGCCTTCAGTGATTTTATTGCACATATGTTTACTGTACATGCAAGTTCAGATAATTAGTGATTGAGCATCTGAGTTCTAACAACAGTCACAGTATCATGCAACTGACTTAACTATCATGAATGTTGTTGCTCTTCAGCGACAGTGGTTATAAGGAGGGCTCGGCTGGGATTTGAACCCTAAGCGAGAATCATACTCCTAGACCAACTGGCCAGCCATCCCCGGGGTGTACTGCTGCACCATCAGACCACATGTGATTAAACTCTTCATCTCATCTAGTCAAACTGATGCCTTTTCTGAAAGGAAGAGCAGCATGTCAAGATTGAGCTTGTGTGCAGACACTGACTGAGAGATGTCAGCCAGACACGCTGACATTCGCGCAACCGCTTGGCTTTCAGACCGAGCAAAAGAGAGAAATATGAGCACCCTAAGCTACCCATTATTGTATCTAAGCAGTAACTGCCTTCAGAGGTTGAATTTTATGTATGTTTACTGTACACAAGTGTCAGATGATTGGTAGTTGGGCATCTCAGTTCTAACAACAGTCGTTGAATCATGCATCTGACTGTTGGTCATCATGAATGTCATGGCTCTTCTCAGAGACATTTAAGAGGAGACATGTCCCTTGAAGAATCCTCAGTACAACTCTATAGGGAAAGCCTGTAACGCCAAAGATGACAGCTATCCCGTCCGTCCTGCTAGAATGCTGTGTTAAAGCTCGCCAATCGTTTGATTAAACAGCCGAGCCGAGAAACATATTCAGCCAATCCTGTGGTTCCACTGACATATGGGTCTACTACACATGTGCCACTACTTCCATGCATGTGTAGTAGAAGTAAAACTGTTGGGGAAAATCATTTTTAAAGCTTATTTTGGGGTGAAAATCAGTTTTTACTGGTGATTCTATACATGCAGCTTTTATGTCCATTTGACAAGTGAACGTGCAGTTATGGCTCTCTCCCCATTCATGTAAGTAGCATTAGCAAGATGGCTGCCAAGTGGGAGGACCATGGGTCTGTTCAGTCTTCTTCAGCCACACCTCTCACACCCTAAGCGAGAGTCATACCCCTAGACCAACAAGCCAGCTGTCATCATGGGCCACTGCTGTCCCATCAGACCATATGTGATTGAATGATTCAAACTTGGGACGTGGCCTCTTGCTGTCCAGCATCTCACATCTCATCTAGTCAAACAGATGCCTTCGCTAACGCGTAACTCAGCCAAATGACTTGGTGTGAATAGAAAAGAGGAGGGGCCCATACATAAGCCAGTGGGACCCAGTAGTGAGGCTAGAAGAACCACAGATTGTCTTCAAGTTACCCTGTAAGTGTAGCTCTTGAGGCAGGATATGAACAGGCAGAGTGCAGAGCCTGAGACTCTCAGTTCTTGGAGGCTGGACAGGAGGAGCTGGTGTTTCACCGTGTCAAATGCTGCTGAACGGTCCAGCAGGACGATGACGGAGGTTGCTCTAGCAGTCTATCCATCCACGCTGAAGCACTGTGCCAATCAGTCTCCGGTGTTCACAGACATCCTTAACACCTCACTGGAGACATGCCATGTGCTAGCCTGCATCAGCTGAACAGCAGCTCCTTCACAAAGAAAGACCAACAGAGGATGTACTTTCTGCGGCAGCTGAGGATGTTCAATCTGCAAAAGACAATGATGGTGCACTTCTACACTACCATCATCAATCCATCCTTACCTCTGGTACTCTGCAGCCACTGCCAAGGACAAGGGCAGAGTGCAGTGCAGGGTCTGATTAACTTCTTTCACTGTCTACCACTGTGACAGGCGCATGTTTTTGTCTGCCAATCAGAAATTTTAACAGCACTACATATAGGAATAACATTAGCTAATTTAGGCATGAATTAATGTAAATATTGTTGTTATTCAATCTTCAAAATATTTAGACAAAAAAATTCCATGGTCCAAAGGTCCCATGTATTTCAGTAGCCTACATGACCTAGACCTGAAGCCCTATCTACACTACGTTTTTGTTTCAACAAGCAGACCTTTGGCTACGTTTGCACCTCCTGTCCAGCCTAAAACGGTGAATCCGAAGACTTCAAACAGAGAAGTTTGAAAACGCTCCTGGGCCCGTTTTTGTTTTAAAACAAATCGCTTTAAGGCCTTTTCACACGGGAAGCGATTTACGCGCCTCGTAATTCTTCTTCAATGAGAGGCGAACGTGTAGGGAGGGAGGCGCGGGCATTGCGACAGTCCCGTGAACCTTTCGCGGTTGTGCTCGTCTCACGCACACGCCCGCCCCTGCCAAAGTTTAATTGACTTGAACTTCCTGTAGCCTATGCGAGGCGCAGCACAAAAAGAAGATGGATGAGAGACTGATCCTCGCCGTCTGTGACTTCTCTGAAATATAAGTGTTCACTGAACAGTTACCGGGACATTAACCGGAGGGCGTTTGCATGACTAGATTTATCAGCTATATGAATATGAATAATATGTGTGAAAAGGCCTTTAGTGCGGACAGGCGAACACGGAGGACTTTTAAAACAATGACACAGACAGATACCGGCTTCCGGTTATTATATTTAGTATAGTGTATACTGTGTATGTATTTATACATCTACGTAGAATGTAAACTGATTCTACTTTTATTGTATTATTGTGTATTGTGCTGCTGTGCCAATTTGAATTTCACCCAGGGGAATTATTGAAGGATCTTATCTTATCTTACAATGTTAAATTTATGTTTTTAATATGAACTAAGGTCCTGATTCCCAGCATTTGTGATCCTTAATCCCAATGGTAAAAGGGCAGGGCTCGTCCGGGATTTGAACCCGGGACCTCTCGCACCCAAAGCGAGAATCATACCCCTAGACCAACGAGCCAATATGCTTTAGACTTAGACATTCATGTCTAGGTAGAACCACTGACACTGATGATGTGGCCGACTGGAGACTAAGAGATGGTCTGACTGAACAACACCACTAGTGGTGTTCAGAGGAATAACAGCACATAGCCCAATAATCGCCAATATGAAGCAGCTGACATTTCAGACAGACGACGGATACGCAAAGTGCAAGACAAATTTAAACATACTATGAACAATTATTAAAGTGTATATTTAACCAAAGATATGTATTTTTAAAGGATAATGTTAAGTTTTGTAAAGTAATACGCCTACTTTAGGCACTTATTTCAGAAAGACAAATAATTTTGTATCGTTCAGGGGCGTCATGATACATTGGGTCAGGAGACGTGATGCAGGAGAACAAGACCAGAAGATTTTTAAACCTATTTTGAAGAAACAGGAAATGCTGGGGTGTCTGGGGGTCCTCCACCATAAAATTTGGAGCATTAAAGAAATATAATGCAGTTATCAGCAGCTTGGTTCTTCTTAGCTTACTTTTTTTTGGGACATTGCACATTTAGTTTCTTCCATATTTAAATTTTCTTATTGTGCAAATAAACCATTCTCAAAGCATTTTCATTAGTTCAAAAAGTGTTGGGGACAAAATCAGACCTTTCAAAATGTGGTGGGGACATGACCCCAGTGTCCCCTGTGTAACGTTAAATGACATTTGTGGATGTAATAATCTATTTATCCATCCATCGTCAACCGCTTATCCTGTGTGGGTCGCGGGGCGCTGGAGCCAATATAATCTAATTTATCCATGGTAATATATTTTGCTTACTCAACTTTCTTCATCTAAAGCTAGGTACTGGACCAAACCCCTACACTTAATTTTGTTTGGTTATAGGCCGATATTTAAACTGTCCAAACCATAGCCGTTTCTCAATCTGCGTTACTTTGACGTATTAGCTGCCTACAAGTCACAGATTGTGTCACACTTAACCCAAAACTCGTCCACAGTCCACGTGTTGAGATTGCGCATGTTCGAGTTAGCTAGAGGCTAACTGTAGTTAACCAGTACCAGAGCCTGCCATGTTCCGGGTTTGGATATTTCATTCACAAGATGGCAACAGAAGCGAAACGACCCAAGGTTACAGTTTAATCAGTTCTAACAACAACAACAACAACAAAAAATAGGATGATAGTGCTTGTACTGTTTGTGTGTGTTTACACTAATGTTAGCTGTGTTTTCTGTGCATGTAACGTTGTGCGTGGTGTGGGAAAGTGTATGTACAAGTGTGGCTCTGTCCTAAACAGAGGAACTATTTCACAGTAAAGCCATGTACACCGTAGGTGCACTAGGTCACATGTGCCTGATCATATTGACGTTTTTATCCATGCGCTGACAGGTAGATCATGGTTCAGTGCTCAGTCCCCTGCAGAACTTTTTACAGTGGTGCGACAGAGTCGGCTTGGTACTCAGCAATAAGGTATGTTATCACAGCCTGCACTCAGGCTCCTGACACAGAATATAGTAATTCATTATTCAGTCTCTCGGTCTTTTCCTGCCATTTTAATTTAAGTTGTTCAACATTGTGCACCTTCTTTGTTTAAATGGCTTGATTCCAGTTTCTTAACCGTATTGGCCATGCATGTAAAGGATGGGTGTCTCTCTCCCTAGGTGTGTGTGAGTAAAGAGGGAACAGTGGCAGAGTATGGGATGCTGGCGAAGGACCACATAGAGGAGGGGGAGGTTATATTCACCATTCCCAGATCCGCTCTTCTGCACCAGGGAACAACCAAGATCTCTGCCCTGCTGGAGAAAGGTGAGCGTTAATGATTACAAAGACGTTTTCCTGAGATTGAAGCAGCCTGCATCATCCTCCTGTTTGTAACCTGTCTTTCCTCCTTTTTATACTTCACAGAGCAGTCGTCTCTGGAGAGCTCCTCTGGCTGGGTTCCCCTATTGCTGGCTCTGCTGTATGAGTATACATCATCACAGTCCCACTGGAAACCCTACCTCTCTCTGTGGACCAATTTCAAGACGTTGGACCACCCCATGTTCTGGTAAGAAACTCTTTAAATCATCGTTTCAACCCCGTCCTGGGCATCCCTTGTCTTACCGGTTCTGCGGTTGGTACTGTAACAGTTTTTTCCCACGAATTATCTGTTGTTGAAGTGGGAATTTCCAGCTTTCTTTCCAGTAACTTCCAGGTCATCTGTACAGGTCTAAAGAGGAGAGAGACAGACTCTTGAGGGGGACAGGTATTCCAGAGGCTGTGGACACGGACTTGGCTAACATCCAGAGGGAATACACAGACGTGGTCCTTCCCTTCATCGCAAAGCATCCTGACCTCTGGAACCCCGACACACACACGCTGGACCTTTACACACAGCTGGTGGCCTTTGTCATGGCCTACAGGTTAGTGAGCATACAGTATATGGACCTTTTTTTCCCCTTGTCCTCCTCCCAAATTCACCCCTGCGATCTCTGTCTTCCCCCTTCCCTGTAGTTTCCAAGAGCCACAGCAAGAGGAGGACGATGATGATGATGAGGAGGAGGAGGATGAGAAGGCCCCCAACCCGCCAATGATGGTTCCCATGGCTGACATGCTTAACCATGTGTCCAATCACAATGCCAATCTGGAGTTTACACCAGTGAGGGGACACCTCCACTAATACTGATGGACTTTTTCATGTTTCTAGATTTAATAGTTTGTTTTCTAGAACAGCTTCTCATCTGTGTGTGTGTATATGTATATATATTTGACATCGAGACCTAAGCTGCGAGTTAACTGCCCACTGAGCAATGTTAACTTATTTGCATATTTCAACTCTTCTTGTACACTCCGTCTTTCTCAGGACAGTTTGAAGATGGTTTGTGTGCGCCCCATTCATAAAGGCGAGGAGGTATTTAACACCTACGGGCAGATGGCCAACTGGCAGCTGCTGCATATGTACGGCTTCTCGGAGCCGTATCAAAGCAACAGCAACGACACAGCTGACATCCCCATCACAAACCTCTACAAAGTCGCCACGCAAGGTAATCGACAAGACTGTTCTGCAATTCACTTGTCCACGTATTATAGCAGACGACATCTGCTACGGTGTGTATGGTGCGCTCCGAGCATCATTAAATTATGCAACACGACATTGTGCAGTCACCGGAGTCGAGCATTTCAACACTGAAAAGGATGCACTTGAACGTAATATTCAGATTGTCTGCAGTGTATAACCTTTTTCATGCCACTGGTTTGCAGGCCTAAATTCTACATTGCCTGTCATTGTCCCAGTGTGCACGTCACAGTGTCCAACATTTCACAGTTGGGCGTCAGCTGGACATTATTTTCACACCAGCCTCATAGTTTTACAATGACGACCGCTTTTAATTAGAATTCCCCTTGATTCATCGGAAGAACATTCAATTTGATGTCGAAACAAATACAACCCTGTTACTTGGTGCTTCCTGTCCTCTTCCCAGGTATTCAGTCCGATTTGGACCGGCAGCTGGTGGAGGAGCAGTGGGAGATGCTGTGTCAGATGATGCAAGAGAAAACAACCGTTGTCTTTGGCAGACAGGGCTGCCTTACAGACACAGAGCTACATACTGTGCTCAAGGTGAGGGGTGTACATAAACAGTGGTGTTTAAATTACATCTGTTCACCCTACAAAACCTGGGAAAAAAACAAAAACACATTCCCCTTTGTCAGAGATGAATGTTGTTGGAAACAAAACTCTTGCATTTTATCTTCAGGTGCTGTGTATGTCGAGCAGGGAGTTCTCAGAATTTAAAGACAATGAAGGATGGGAGGAAGATGACGAGGATGATGAGAGGATCTCCCTTGCTTTCTCTAACGAGGGACTCCCTGGATTAAAGGCTTCGTGGAAACGGCTAATTCATGAAGCGGCCCGACTGACTGTGAGGACCTATGGAGAGGGTTCGGACAGCGAGCAGGTGCTGATAGAAGACAAGGAAGCGTATGCTGGACTGAGCAGCAGGCAGCAGAAAGCGCTGCAGGTACGCTGCGGACAGAAGAGCATCCTGTACAGACTGATGGAGCTCACAGAGTCATGACCTGTTGTCATAATACAGTCAATAAATGTTTTTCCTGATAAACTGACTTTCTACAATCCTTGTTTTGCTCCCATTAATACATACTAATAAAGGTGATAGTTTATTTGGCCTTACTGTACATAAACCAGGGATAACTAAGTTCAGAATTTGCAAATAGTGGGCAACCACGTTTGTGCTATATTGGAATATTATTCATTTGCAGGTGTCTTAACTGCAATTACTGGGATCCAAGATTGGCCCCCAAGAGTGGACATGACTATCCGCAAAACTCAGTTCTCTGGATGTACATAATACAGTGGAACATTTCACCTTTATTAATAAAGACAGTAACAGCTGTACCTAGAGTCAGGAAACTTGTGAGTAATGTATATGAATTGTTTCTAAAAATAAAATAAAATAAAAGCTACTTTTGGAACACCTGATATTTAAATACCATCCTATTACACTTGTAGTCCTGAGTGAACACAGATGCGTTGCAGTTTGAATGCTTTATTTTCTGTATGTATGCATACTGCAGTTAAGTAGCAAGAACTAAAGGCAAACTAGAAAGGACTACAAAATACAACACATGGACCAATACATTTACAAAACATTCAAAATGTTACAAAATGGGCTGTATTGGTCCTTCTATTGTTCTTCAATTTGGATCTTTGTACAAATTGCCAAGGTACGATGTCACTATCACTTTGCACAATTTACAAGTGCCAGGGAGAGACTTCCAGAGCCAGTTTCTAACGGACAGAGCATCAGCAAACTGTCTCCACCAACACACCGACGCACCAGGAGTAGACCCCCACCCCACCTGGGAGACTGAACTCCATCTTCCTGTTCCACTCAGGGATAAAAAGGTATTAAATGAAAGTAGCAGGCAGCTTTTTTTTCTTCTTCTTCTTCTTCAATCATCTACCATTCAGCCTCTCAAAGCAAAACAAAAGTCAGGAAAAAAAGGATTTGTGCGGGAGGGAAGCAAACCAAGGACTTTGGTAGTGAGTGAAAATATGTTTAGATGTCTTTACATGTCAGGATACGCTTTATTTGACATGTGCGTTGATCACTTCACTTATCTACTCTCCCGTTCTCCCTTTTTTCCTCCAATATTTACATCAAAGCATCAAAAAAGTATATTAAACAACATGTCTCAATCCATTCTCTCCATTTCAATTCCAAGGGATAAACAAAAATCTAACTCTTTAGATCCATGAGCAGTAGTCCTTTTATCCACATTTCAAATGACTGTGGTTGCCAGTTTATCCAGTGCCAACAGTAAAGAGGGAGAGGTGTGTGTGTGTGTGTGTGTGTGTGTGTGTGTGGTGGGGGGGACTGGGTCAAAGTCAAGGCCGCGGCATCTCTCCCGAGGGCTACGAGCTGGCTGGTACACAGGCTAGCTGGCACCAGTGCCTTCCATCACCTGCTGGGCCTGCTTCTGTCCCATGCAGCACTGAGCTACCGACTGGAACAGCCTGATGAGGGAGGGGAGAGGTAAGACGTGAACATCTGGTGAAAATGAGAACAACTAGAATTTATCCTGCTAACTAGTATCATCTGTAAAGGCTGAAAAAAAACAAACAAACAAAAAAAAAAACACATACATAAAGAACAACGAGTCAAACATAAAACCTACTTTTCAATCTCAGGGGCACAGTGCACAAAGTCGTGGCTCCAGAACTTAAAGGCAGGATTCTTGATCAGCTCGATGAAGGTGATGAGGAGACCCCATGGGTGAGGCCTGTTCACTATCAGCCTCTCCAGCAGAACCCTGCAAGAGGAGGAGAAAGATTTAACTAAACGGCAGTTAACTTCAACACGGTGTTGACTCAATGCGTTCCTCTGCTGAAATGAATCAAGTCACACAGATCCAGATCAGACTGTTTGTCTCACCTGGTGATCTGCTCCTGGATGGCCTCTGTGTTGGCCTCGGCAAACAGATACAGCATGGTGCAACTGAAGTAGTGAGTGTGGCTGTTGGGGTAGCGCAGCTGATTGGCGATCGCGTTCAAGAACAAGTAACGCCCTGAAAAGACACGACGACAGAAACCTCAGATGAGTGCTCTGCTCAAGCTTTTGCAACTGGTTCTTTAGATAGCAATAAATAAACGTACCCTCAGTGTCCAAGTCCACGGCCAGATTTTGGAAAATGTCCATGTGTGCAGAGTGGGTTATAGTGCTCATGGAGGGGGTGCTGCCCTTATTGTGGATGTGAGCGATTGCCTGTGTGCCTACATACAACACTAGAGCATTGATCAGCTGGATGTTGTAGCGGTTTCCCGGCTCATTAGACACCTGGGGTAGTGGTTTAAAAAAAAAAAAAAAAAAAATAGGAGGGTGACAGATTAACACAAAATCGTATCATTTACTGAAGTATAATAATATTCTACTAATAATAACAATAATGTAAAAGAGATGGACACTGCTCCTACCTGCAGGTTGCTGCGCAGCTCAGACAAGAAAGTCACTGGTGAACGGGTCTTCAGATACGAGTCCAGATCCTTCTTGAACTGGGAAGGCATAACACCTGTGAAGTTGGTGAGGATACGGGGAGCGATGTTGATCTCACTCAGCATGTCCACCTGCAGCCGGGGTGTTGATACAACATTGATTAAATGGGACAACGTCTTCTAAACAAAAAGTTCAAACAAACCTGCTTCTGTAGGCATCGTCAAAGTGTGTGTTTGTTTGTCTCTACCTTGAGATTGGGTGTGAAAGGGTCAGGAAGCCTCATGTTGCGTGGAAAGGCACTCAGGATGAGGTTGCGGAGCTGGATGCAGTTGGGTGGGATAACATCACAGAAGCCATAATGGTAGTCACACAGGAACTCTGGGAAGTCATGCAGCAGGACCAGGAGCACTCTCAGTGTGCCCTGAAATAGAAAATGATACGTTTTATAATAATAGGAAACATTTGCCTGCTAACAAGACAACTGAAATATGAAACAAGCCTAAAGTCTATAGCTACAAAAGCAGCCCTATGAAGTTGTAATTCCCAATATCAAAAATAAATTGCAACCCAATCAGCTCTGACAGATTAGGTGTCATGATATTAGTACCGGTCTATCAATGCATCACTAACACAACCAAATGATAAATGCGAGGTTCCTACTGCCAGAAACATGGACTTCACTTTGTCTAACTTGGTGTTTACCGGCAGCTGTTATTTCGGAACAAAGAAACAATGAGAGAGCACCTTGTAGAGGATTTGCATAGGTTTGTTGAGCTCTACATTCCTCAGAAATGGGGCCAGGTACTTGAAGAGATCAATCAGCAGCTGTGCGTACATGGGCCAACCCTGGAAGACAAAATCAGTTCATTGATCAAAAAAACACAACTATGGGGGCTATGTATTAACAAGATTTGAATGTCATAAATAGGCTTGCTCTTGCATACCTTCTGCTGCGGTGTGTGCGCTAGCATCCTGGCAATGAAGATGCGATGGGAGATGAGTTCCAACCAGGCATACACAAAGCCGGGTGCTTTGGTGGGTCTCAGGATGTGGAAGGTATTGCTGCAGATAAAAGGAATATGTGAGGCCAAACCAAAACCGTACTGCCTCTCCTCTACACACAGAAGGCGACCCTTTAGATATGACTGATCCATGAGGATGTCTCACCAGAAGGCGGTGAGTGTCTGGAAGTTGATGGTCTCCAGCACATGTTCGGGGGCGTTGAGCTCCAACAGCAGCATGATGAAAATGCGGTGGTATGGTAGCTGTTGGAATTCTGTCTGACGGACATCATGGTCCTGGATCAGCACCCCAACTACGATACCTAGCACCTATTAGAACAATGTAGAGGGTAATCAGAATCAGCCAGCCAAAGGCTGCCAGCAGAATCTGCAGAGCAGACAAGCATTTATCTTTTCTGCCACTTTAAAGATTTTACAGTTAAACAGACATTATGATGTTAGAGCTTTCCTATCAACAACAAATTATTTATTTAAATGAGTGTGTGGTTCTACAAACTAGATTTTAACCCAAAGTTGTTAACACTGTCAAAAGGTCTCTTAAGTCTTCATCGCTCATTGCTGATTATGTAGCTTTCTTTGTAACCCTGCTGTTCTGAGCAGAATAAACCTCATCACACTCTGGGTTGAAATGCCCTTCATAAATCACACAGCATCCGCCGATGCCACAATGTAGAAAGACTTTCAGTACCACAACCAAATAACTACTTTCTATAATGTCCTGTTGATAATATTGGATATTTTTGACTATTTTGTCACAGATGATAAATCAGCTACACTTTTGTAGTCATGATGCGGTACCTTGTTGAGGAGGTTGATTTTTGTCACTGTGTTGGTGGCCTCTCCAGAGTGTTTGACCAGCAGGGCTATGAGCCTAACGAAGGCATCCAGGTTGTGGTAACACTTTGCCCTGATGATGGCGGCACTGGCTGCTGGGTTGTGCTGTTGCTCAGCCTGTGCCCGATAGCTTATCTCCACACACATTTCTGTGCACAGCCGGAAGAACCTTGTGATCAGGTCATCAGTCTTCAGGATGCCCTGCTGGTGCATCTGGTTGAAAAAGAAAAGGAGACATGATATAAACGTGAGGAACAATGGTCACCATGATTGTCACACAACACTTGCACTTACATTGACTGATAAGGTCAGAGTGTTTACCTGGCCTACAAAGGCAGAGAAAGCTTTGGTGCTATCCCTGCCAGCAGCAGCTGAGTGGTACAGGTTGACCCATTCTCTCAGTAGGTACTCTGCCTTCTCCCTCAGGCCTGGAGGGTCATCATATTCCGAAGCCTGTGAAATCCCAGAGTGCATCATGAAGTTAGGGCCGCCGTGGGCCCGGTCAATCATGGCCTCATAGTTGGAGCGAACAACATCCATCAGCTGGGGAAGACTGGGGAAGAGGACAAAGAAATGACCAAGAGTTAGTTTTAACCCTTTTCACATTGGATTCATTTTATTTTCAAATTTGACTGGATCAGACATTAGTTTCTAGGTGGGGTAGCAAAAACCTCTTCAAAATTCTAAAATGGCCTCAAATAAATTCATCTTACATGAAAACCTGCTTGATTTGGTGTCTTTCCGACTTCTACACA